TTCTTCGTCTTCTTCTATATCTTAAGGGCCCACGATCAATTTATTGATCATTTTGGCTCCTATGCATGTAGATGGGATTTGCAATGTTTCTGTTACTGGTGGTGATGAGGAAATTATGCACTAGGGGCTTGAAGGCTTGAGGCAATAGACACAAATGTGTCTTGTGTTGTCGCCTCAACTGTTCCTTTTGAAAGATGGTTCCAGTCCCTGATTGGCTTGGGCAGGAATGAGCAGCTCCTATACTGGTTCCTATACTATATTCTCGTGTAATGTTTTAAGTTGTTCAATTAAAAAATCTGCTAGTTGAAACCTAACAAAGTCTAAATACAAACTTACGGCTAGACTAACTTAGATTTATGACTGACATCGGCGCACAGATGTCAAGTACACGAAGTACTCAGTTGATTCGACGAAAAGTACCCTTTTTAAATTATAGGAGCTGACAGACTTGCACACATTTAGTGGTTCGTTTTTCTTCCCATATCATATGATTTTTTTTTATATTAAAAAACAAAAACAAAAACGTATTTTTAAAGCATAGAATTAAGAATTTAGTTTAGTTTCTAAGATGTATGTAGTAAGGCGTCACTAAATAGCATGTGCCCATTTTAACAGAAAAGTGGAGCAATGATCTTACTAATAAACACATTGGTGTAATTAGAGGGAATCATGAAAATAGAATCTGATTTTGACTTACTATATTTACAAAATATATTTAGTTTATTTGATGCTTTATAGGTAAACAACTACTTTACCTTGACATTTTCCTGTCCCTTCCTAAACAAAGAACCATTCGTGACAAGTTAATGAGCTTATCAGCTTCTTTCACCAAGAATGTACCTGGAAGTACTTCCTGTAAAGCAAATATCGAGCTTAGTACTTGTGGAGATTATAGAAAAATGATATTAAAATGTAATTTTTTTCTTCAACATTTGTATATGTTAAAAAAATCTCAACATGCTCTCTAACACACTGTGGAAATGGTTATTTGTAAAGAATACATATGTTCTCAATGTATGTCCTTAATTCCACTTTAACATGTTATAAAACTAAGCTAAAATAATATATACATTATTTTATTTAAAATAAATATCAATACATATATTTTAAATCTAAAAGTTCATTGTTACCCAAATTTTCGTCATAAAATGCCAAAAAAATAAAATAAATAGGTGTCACATTCATAATTTAAATTCTTTGTGCGCTGACACGAGGAAATGTCAGCATAAAGAGATTCGGCAGTCAAAAAGATATTTGTATCATTAGGAGATTATGAAGACAAAGAAATGACGGAAGACAAAATTATTTTATCAATGCTTTTCATGTAATTTAAATGTAAATAAATTGGAGTTATTATAATTTTAATTGTATAACTCCAATTTATTTACATATAAATTGTAATTATTATTAGTATTATAATTTTAATTGTATACTTATCATATGACAATGCTAACGATCCATACGAGAACAAATGCTTTATAATAAAGATTAATGTTTTGAATATTGAAATAATACTTCTCCAATGTCCAGGGTAGTTAACCCGAAATTGCTCATGAAGATCTCCTTTATCTTCTTCACCATTTCGAGAAACTCGATATCTTCATCATCTTGATCATAGACAATTAAAACATATTTTTTTGGAAGGTCAGATATAGTTTTGTCCACTTCTTCATTGGAGTTTCCCTCAGAACAATGTTGGTCATTTGAATTTATATAATGTCCAAATAAGTGTTTAAAAATAAGTCCTGCACTCTGGTCTGCGGCTTGCAGTCTTGAAGCTGCTGCATAGAGACACACTTTCAGACGTAGTGGCTCAAACGGACTCTCGAATAATGGACCCGTTGTTGCGACAGAGAGAAGTGCGTACGCTTTCTCATATTTCTTTTTCACCAAGAGCGCCTCCAGGTACAATTTTATAACCTCGGGGTCAGCAAAGTCTTCCTCACTCATCGCTTTTAGTTTCTCCATAATTTCAGGGATTTTCTCAAAGTGCGCCATACGGTGTAAAAGCTGCAGATACATTTTGATGACTTTTGGAGAGTCTGGGTTAGCTTCATACTTTGCCTCTAAAGTGCTGAATGCTTTCCATACCTCATGTTGGTAATTTTTTATATTCGAGTCAAGATTAGACATTCTGGCAGACAGGCTCACCGCTTTCATGAGCTTTCTCTCAGCTTCATCGTTCCATTTGGTCGACCTTTCCAAAATTATGCCGGGTTTCTCTGCACGTTTATACAAACAAAGACCAGCTTGTTCGTACGCATGAGTAAGTGTAAAGACGTATTCCAAATTTTCATTTCCATTTCCCTTTTCGCTTTGAGGCAAACTTTCTGGGATCTCTAAGCACTGAGAAATGACTTCGTTAAATTGATCAAGTGCGTCTTCAAAATTTCCGCATTCGGTTAGTATGAGTCCAAGATCCTTTACAGCTGGAATATTGTTTTTCAATGAAAACGAAATTGCTTTTTCCAAATAAAGATTGCCTTTGCAATATGATTATCATGTGCGGTCGTAATACACTGATCTTTGTCAGGTTGTGTTGACCGAAGATCACATTCTTCGTTTGCCACGTGATTTTTACACGGACTTTTATTATTTGCTTGTTTTTTATAACACAGACCCAGCTGGTGATAGGCAGTTGTGTGTTCTTTTAGCGCCAAAGATTTCTTTAACCATTTTTTGGATTGACTTAAGGATGTTTCTGAGTTTTCTTCATTTAAGATGCGTCCACATTCTGTCAATGTCGATGCATCATCCTCTCCATATTTAAGAGCTTCATCAATAAGTGTCTTAAAATCTCGACCACGAAATATTTTGTCCCGCTCTATCTGTGAGAAGTTGAGATTAGAATCATTTATCATTAACGCAAGTTGAGAGCATGCACGGCCTCGAAGATAAAGATGCACAGTTTCATTTTCTATGTCAAAGAACATTTCTGCAGCCTTCCTGGCGTGTTCATTTATGGGAATCCCCGAAGTTACTTCATGAAACATGTCCCTGTGTGTAGCCCGTCTGTGTGCTAATCCAAGCCTGTATTTCCACACGTATTTTTCAGGCTGCTTGTATATCACTTGTGTATACATCTCAATGGAAAGGGAAATGTTGACAGCCCGTCCTAACGTGAAATAAGAGTATGCAAGCTCAGCCCTGGCCTCGTTCATTAGTGTCTCACCATCGGTGCTACTTTGTAATTCTTTTAATTTCTTTAATTGATCCTCTGCACCGGCAAAGTCACAACCTCGCAATAAGATGTAGAAACGACCCACAAGCGCAGCTACATTTCTATGTGCTGTCTTTTCAATGGCTTTATGATTGTTTTCTTTAGCTTCATTGTACTTTCTTAGTTTAAATTCTATCCACGTAGACAGATTAAGATTAGCAATAATCTCTTCCTGGCACTCATTATCTATGGTCATCTGAATCTTTAGTTTACTTTTTATTTCTTCTAATCTCTCTAATGCTCGTCCTGGCTCCTCGTTAAAAATGCAAGGGTAATGTTCGGCCTTCTTACGAAGACTTTCACGTCTGTCCATTTCACTGATCATTGGCATCTGAACAAGGTTAAAAATAAATGAAAATTATTAGGACACATTTAGAGCTTGTTTGTGGAAGTGTGATATGATAGAAGCAGGGGCATCATTTTGTTGTTTTTTTTAAAGGGAGGGGGTGGTGGTGGTGGTGGGAACCAATTCTTAGTCGACTTGTTAAGTTATTTATCACTGGAGGTGCCACAGTACATATGAATTGAAATAAAACATGCAAATTTAGTGTTGGGGGGGGGATGCCCCACCATGACCTACCAAAAAGACATCACAGGATAGAAGGAATGATGGCGGTATATGTTTGGAACAGTGACTAGACTTAAAGAATAATTTTTAAACATTTCGTATAGAATTAACTCATACAATTATATTGCTTTCTACTAATAAGTTAGTATTTAGCTCTTGTTGTAGTGACATGTTTTGTAGTTACGTTGTTTAATGTTACATTGTTTGTAGTAACATTGTCTTTAGTAATATTTCCTGTAGTTATGTCTTTCTTATTGACACTAGTTAAAGGTTAATTGTTTGTATTTACATAAATTGTAGTTGCATTGTTTGTAATTACATTGATTAAGTTCCCTTGTTTCTTTGTTATATTATTTAGCTTGCATTGATAGTCCCATTGTTAGTTGTTGCAATGTTTGTAATTCAATTTTTTGTGTTTCCCTATATGTAATTGCATTGTTAATAACATTGTCTAGAAATCTATAGTCTATATTTGCATACAACACATTCGTTTCTTGTTTAACAAAGATTACATATTTAATTACATAATTCTTTTATTCATAAAGATCTTAGGGTGAATACAAACTGGCTTTGAAATAGAATACTTACCTTCAGTTTTTTTCCTGTTTTGAACGTGTCTTTAAGTCACTGCTCAATTTACCTTAAATAGCACAAGTCAATCTTGATACAATAAATATAGACTTTTCCAAGTCCGTCTTCTACAGTCTTTATCTTGCAGTGATATACTTCCTGGTCAACAATAACAGAATTGAAATAGTGGCTAGAGTATGTATTAAATAAGTTCTGTTTGCATATCCAATGGTATAAATTGTATACATTGCAATCTTAAACTTAAACAATAATCGAACTAATGATGTTACTCTTACACAGTGTATTTTAATAATATGTTTTATGCAGAGTAAACAACACTTTAAATTTTATCTGCTTTAGATTACCCACCTTTCCTAGAAGAAAATTGCTTTCAGTATAGTGTTTTGTCGATAATTTCATGCCAAATGTGTCAATGTCATAGACACGGGACACGAACACATGACCCAGCTAGCGGTTTGATTAATGTTGTCAATAATGAAATGTGTTGAATGGAAAAGTATCAAAAACTAATATAAAATATTAACAAATAGTCAATGTCTTCTAATTAAAATCTCCTAAAAAACAAAGTTCATGATATAATTCATTTATACATTATAATACTGAGCAATGGGGGTGGGCTAAAAGTTTGACAAGACAGGCATACAAGTAAAGAACTATATAGGAATCCCAGTTACTACTGCCCCTTGGAGACTCGCAATTACACATTTTTCACATGTCTTTATACTATATTAATATTGAAAGGACCCTCTCACTTTTACATCCCTGATTTATTTTATCAACTATTTCAGAAAAACAAAAGAGAATATTACGCACCAAACGCACTTATAATATTTTATTTTTAAAATCTCATTTAGCACAGTTATCTGGCATTGTCATTCATGTTTACCTTGAAAAAAAAACAGGAAAACCTGATTTTATTAGTTTTGGGGGCTAGTCTGAAAATTTTATAGAACGCGTTGTTATCGGCAGCAAGATAATGTGTCAAGTTTAAGCTTGATAGCTAGACGGAAAGTGGGTCCATTAGCCGTCTGAGGATTTTACGAGGAAGTGACATAAATACAAATGATTTTAAAATATTTCCAATTATCAATAAAATTATGTGATCCATATAGTTAATATTTTAATACTAAGTGAATTGGTCGGTTGCGCATTTGTTTCTTACAGCACTACTCTTTATTTGACCTCCGACCTTTACGGCCCAAACATTTGCGTATCTAATGGCTACAAACTTATTTTCATTTCCTGACTAGCCCATGTCCTCTACAACTTCATTTTTCATTGCATATTATCCTCATATCCCTTTTTTTTCACAAAATAAATATTGTAAATTCCCATACTCTTTGTGTGTCATCCAATATACATTCTACATCACCATATCCCCTTTGTCGCCTGCTTTACATTATATACGAGCATTAAAACGTGTCAACCACCATACATTCTACATCATCATATCCCCTGTCCCACCCACAATACATTTAGATCACAAAACTACAACATCATGGTTAGAAAAAGGTAAAAAAACACCACCAAAAACAGGAAGTGTTATATCATTGACACCCAACACCCGCGCCTAAAACAATACGTTTGTGAAAAATTATATACGTATATTTTCATGTATTAATAACATCTGTGGAGTAAGGAAAATAATTTGTACTTCTTTTCTAATGAATATTTTTCTTTGTTTTATATTTCTACTTGCCAATATACCTGGCGTTGCCCAGGAATACCTCCCGATCCCATTGGTATCCCCATCCCGTCGGTATCCCGATCCCGGAGGTATTTCGATCCCATTGGGATGGCACCCCCGACCGCAGAGAAATAGATATTATGAGTTCAGGACCATTTGACATATGAATATGGATAATCAAGTATATGTGTACTGAGTTTCGCCAATATCAATGCATCCATGTAGGGATACTGTCACGTATATAATTACTCACAGACTACCACAATTTAGTTACTATCTATTACCAACAGAGGTTTTGTGGATTCCAATGAAATATAGTTATAGTGACTATCCATTATTAATACGAAATCATAATAACAGTCACAATTTATAGATACTACTTGTACTGGTCTTAAAGAACACTTGGAATAAATCTTCTCCACTTGATAGCGTCACAATCACAATCTATTGATTATCTTATATCATACTATTAATAATATGGACTTTTATAACCGCCATGACTCCATTCTCTCCTGTACTCTTCTTCTCTACCTCCTCTTTTCTGATTGGTTCGTCTTATCAAGTTCCATACTCTATAAATTGCAAATCATAATTCTCATCTCACTTAACTCCCTGTAAACCATTATTATCTGTGACAGATACTTTTTGGTCAGTTATTAATATAGCTTAAGGAAAAACGACATTTTGGGCCCCCGGCCCTAACGGAATGTTATAAAATGTGCATAACGCCCTTAGAGTTCCTTCCGGATAATGATAAATATATTTGCCAAGTTTAGACAAGATCCATCGATCCATTTAATATCCTTTGTGGAACAAAGCCACAAATCCACAAACTTTCACTTTTATATGCATATATTATGCTAAGTTATCCCTTTTCTCTTTTAAATTTAATAATCCTTTTAAATATACTGTCTATATAAACTAGCAAAATATTATTATGGCCAGTTCAACAAATAAGCTAAAAAGTATCTCCTTGACAACATATCACTTTCTAAGCTTACGCTTGTGACATAAACATGTGCTTTTCCAACACAGCGCTAATTGCAATCACTCTTTTTCCTCACGTGGTTTTTATTATAGGAAACCAAAAGTTTATAAGACTTCCAGGATTACAACATTATACAAGCAAGCAAATCAAACATTCCTTGATATATCGCCTTGGTAGCTACCACTCCAATTTCATAGCACTTAATTGTTCATCTATAACTTCATGTAAGACCATTCTATCAGCGATTTCGGTATCGTTCTTTCAGATGCTCTTGTTTTCATGCGTGCGCTGTAAGAGCGTGGGCGTCCTATGTTTATACATTTTTTTGTGTCCTCTAATAATTTTGCTTTAAAAAAATCTGGCGCCCAGTCTAATTGTTTACCTGTGGCAAGGGCCTCGTTTGAATCACTATTGATCCATCTTTATTCGGTTTAATGGTCTCTATTTGTAAATATCTCAAGTTGTTGTGTTTATGATAATTGTTGAAAAGTGACAAAATACTGAATGTTGCGCATTGTTTTGCACACAAAATTTTATTGTGTATTAACGTCATGTTGTTATGCAGTTCCGGTCTTCTGTCCATGGTGGTAGAACTCCATGTTTTCTCTTACAATTAAACGTTGAACTAACCTTGATGGTTGCTTGTTACATTATCTTCCTTATGAAGTGGATTAGCAACGTGGATTAGCAACATAATATTTTCAACAATAATAACGTGAAACATATAGTTTAAAAAAAAAAATAGATATTAAATGTTTTTTCATTAACGTTTGTATTTTTTTTTATTTTATCAGTGAGACAAAGATGTCTATTTAGTGCTTTTATTGATCAATGATACGCAGTTGTTTAGTTTGTGTGTCTATTGATCAAGGAGACACAGTTGTTTAGTTATTGTGTTTCCAAAACATGTTCTGGTAGATAGTAGATGATCCTCAAGAAAAGAAATATTGAAAAAATATATTCAAAAGAAATAATAACTAAAAATAGAGTAGAACAACGGTTGAAGGGTGAGTGCTTCCCCGAGAGCGTCAATATTTTTCTTTGACGTTTTCTCCTAAAAAAAAGAGAAGGTGAAATCGGTCGAAAATGTCTTCCCATGATATACAGAAAAAAGTACCACACGGTGCTTACTGTGAACTCCGCCCTACCATTCACGCGCGATTAAATGCACATGACTTGTGTTTATTGCTATAAATATCTTGAAAAGGTATTGTAGTATGTAGAGACAAAAACAAGCGGTGATTGGTTCAAACAGCCGACATATGAAATCTAATTCATTACTGGTGCGAAAAATCTGGAGGAAAACAGTTGCAGTTTTTTCTTCTAAATTGATGTATCACTACTCTCTCGAATCCCACATTTACAATTTTCCACAGGCGGCACAATCAGCACACACATAGACATTTTCTTTGATATATATATATATATTATATATATATACATATATATATATATATATATATATATATATATTTATATATATATATATATATATGTATATATACATATAAAAATGCCATAATATATAATATATATATATATGTATATATATATATATATATATATATATATATATATATATATATATATATATGTATATATACATATAAAAATGCCATATATTTCGAATATGTTAATACATTTAATGGTGTAAAATTTAGCAAACTGAGTAGTATACTTTTCGTCTTCCAGTATTTCCTAGCATGACACCTTGTCTAGATTTGAACAAACCGTCTTTTGACGATGCGATGCAAGAAATACTTGATAAAAATAGAAGGCTAAACCAAGTTGTAATAAAATAAACCAGACACTTGTGAATACAGAGGAGGAAAATAGATGTTGGCCTCCCCACGATCTAAGCACTTACAATATATTAACACATACATATATAATGCAGGGGTGTGTTGTATTCTTTTGTTAACTTCGATGAATACAAGTTAAGTCTACAACTGGGAGGAGTAAGTGATTAGGAAGTATTATCAACAGGAGTTTTAAATTGTTAAAAATAAAAATATTTGCTTTTTTTACATGATAACTTATTTTTGTATTTATTTTGTTGATTTAAAACTAAACTTAACAACTCGTTTACAAATAAATTATAATTTTCCATTTACAATCTTCCTTTTGTCTGTCAGTCACAGTAGTGCATTCACTGGAGCATTTGATGTCAGTCATTGTTTTATATACATTGGAACACTTAGATGTCAATTACAGTTGTACATACACTGGAACACTAGATGTCAGTCATTGTTTTACATACACTGGAACACTAGATGTCAGTCATTGTTTTACATACACTGGAACACTAGATGTCAGTCATTGGTTTACATAAACTGGAACATTAGATGTCAATCACAGTTGTACATACACTGGAACAATAGATGTCAGTCATGATTGTAAATACACTGGAACATTAGATTCGTGTAGGATGTTACGCAACTCTTGATAAGATTCAGCTTACTTAACCTCCCATTTACATTTACCACTAACACCAATTAAAAATGAAACAAAAATGTACAGCTTTATTTCAATATTTTGGTACAAGTATCACAGAGATTTTTTGAATGAGCTTCATCCCATTTCTAATCCAACGATGTTGTAATTGGGGAGTTCATTTTTGTTTTTCTGATGTAATCATCATCTATGCTCAAAGTGAAATTCTAGATTATTAGATGCCAGTAAAGCTCCAAAGATGCATCAGGCCCCCCTCGAGCATGAGGCTGTCTAGAGGCGTGAGGCCCTAAGCAAGCGCGCAGTGTGCCAACACGTTAAGACGACACTGCTTTTATCCACTAATTTCACTACTTAGTACGGAGCAGTGAATAATATGGGGTTTGTTCCGCCCGGGACTAACATCCTAGTTTAACATGATTGTAATCACAAATTCTTACTTCATTTTATTTTTTTTTAAATTCTAATCTGGTAAAAATGAAACTCGTTTTCGAGAGTTATTCCCCTTTAAAAAGTCTCGAAATTGGTATTCTTATTTGTTAATATTGATTTTGGAATGTGCCAAAAATATAGAAGTATAAAATTGGAACACGTTTGACCAATGACTTTTAAAGCAAATTATATTGCCGAAATTCTTAAATGTTCATTAACACTATGTGCATCATAAAGCCTCTAAATCAGTGAGAAGCGCGAGGCCCCGGGCCAGTGTCCAGTGTTCCCATGCCTTAAGACGCCACTGAGAGTAACATGAAATCCAATCCGCCGAGTTTCACTTTCAATCTTACCATCGATTTTGTCGGGATGGCTTATTTTTCACAGCTGTCATTGGAAATCCCGTTATGACGTATTCTTTTCTTAGATCGATTCATCAGTTCTTTTAGAGTATAAACATCTTCTATTGTGCATCGTTATTTTTGTGAATCTTACATTTGATACCTTTTTTTAAATAGCAGAATTAAAGTGCCAGTTGCTTCTTTCAATTTCCTGTTAAACTCTTGAAAAGCCACTGTATCTTAACACCATTAGTAGAATTTTTACTTTACATAAAATATGGCCACACAGGTAAGATGTTCATGAACATTTTGATACAGTTTTAATAAATTAGCTATAACGTTTGGGTTGCTATACAATATATGAATGCAAATCTCTTATTAAGATAAATATATTTAGGTTGTAATATCTTTTGTATAACATACTTATTTGATCTAAAACTTACAACTAAATATATTTAAAAAGAAATTGAGTCGTATTCTGAACATTAAATGAATATCTTTAGGTTTCGAACAATTATAATCTCGAATACTTTATACAGAATGTTAAATGACTTGATGAAATACTTGAACTTTAGATCAATTTGTATTATAACTTGATAAAAACCATGACCAGCTTATTTGCCTAAAAATATTCTAGGCATAATCAATTATCAATACGCTGATCTAAAGCGTCTCCATCTCTATTAAATATTCTAGGCTCAATCAATGATCAATACGCTGATCGATAACTTCAAGAATCATAATGATAAAGATGTATGTGCGTCATATAACGGGTGGTATTGATAGGGTATGGCCCACGCTTATGGTCAAGTACCAAGTGGTATTGTGAGAGTATGGCTCCTACGTATGGTCACGTACCAAACTGGTACTTGTGTTTTTGTGACTAAAATGGGGGCCATTCCTCTCCGTGATGTTTTCTTAGTCCAGATTTTAAGTAGGACAACGAAGACAACACAGACAACGAATGAATGATCCAGCAACTCCTCGGAAACATTTATATATAAAAGATGCACTGATCAATATAATATATTTTAGTGATTGCTATTTCCAAATTATAACACTTGACTAACTGTCTACCCCTAGGTTTATCTATATCATTGAATACGATTTGTACCTATGCCTCAATCACTTGAAGAACTATTTGAAGAAAGCTGTTTTTGTAAAAATAAACACATTTGGATGATACAACCCACCCTCTTCATCACAAAAACTTAGAAACGGCCAGTTCGGGACGAATTCTTTCCATCAGGGCGAGGACTGAAAGATTTTAAAAAATTCTTTTTTTCACCAATGTGTAAGAATTTATTGGCGTGCTCCCTCTGAAGTTACACATCTTTATGAGAACTAACAAGTCCCCGATTTGGCTAAGAGAACTCACTAAATGGCTGTTTGAGATAATTTATTATAAATGTCTTGTCTTTAAATTGTTTAAAATGTATAATGCAATCTGAAAAAAAAATCACTAAATAAATCTGATCTTATCTTACCACTTGAGAATGGCCATCCAAGAATCTCTAACTCTACTGTGTCTCGAAAAGCTCCTCCCTTATATTTCCCAATTGTGTGACTATGATTTCGACTTGATACGCTTCCCGCTGTCATTGAATTGCAACATCATTAAAGACAACATTCTCCTCGTCCGGGTCCTTTACCCCCTATCGCCTTTTCCATGTCTCTAACCAATTATTAGCATCGATCCCTTTGCAGTTTCTCTATAACTTATAATTAATCCAACGCTATCAGTGGTCTTCCTAATATTCCACTTTTAACAGCTAACTCCAAAACTCATTACTCGAACTCATTCGTCATATCCATTCTCCAATGTCCACCTGGTGGCTCCCTGCTTCCCAAGCTTTCTTTTCTTCATTGTACTGCCATAAACTTTGCAGATGTCAGGTCATCTACTCCCTAACCTATTTTAAGTTCGCCTGGGACCTACGCTCATCGTCTGCCTTCTTAGCCCCTGGATTATGGATACAGTTTATAAGCTAACTAGTTTTTGTCTTTATATGTGTCTTGGAATTTTTAAAAAACTGTGCTAAATGTATAGTTCTCTTCCCAACCAGCTGCGCATCAATAGCTGTTAACATTCCGCTTAAGTACAAAACTTGCCTCTATTGAAAAGTTTTAGGATTTAGTATGGTAAATGTTATTTCTATAAAAAAAAGTAGTTCTCAAAATCTCGGATTGATATCGTCTCTCTTCTCAATTGTTATCAGATAAGTCTACGAGAACGCATGAAGGATTTCCCGTGTGCATTTAACCTCCAGTGTGTGCCTCCAACTAGGCAACTTCTCCAACACATGAAGCAGAACCTGTCAACAGACAAACCAACTGGCAAATATTTTAAATTGGAAGAGACTCGAAATAAGAATTTACTAACTTGGGTTGAGCACCTGCTCGAACCTTTGGAAAACAGGGCTAAAGAAATTAATGACGATGTCTTGACAGCTACGGAGAATGCTAACATTCCATCACTGGCTAATCGCGTCTTTCTTTTGTGTGCTGAAGGAAATGACATTGACGCTGAAGAATATCTCAATACTCTCGAAGCCATGAACAAACGTCCAGCTTTCAAAGACATGATGACAGAAGCTAAAGCTGAGCAGGCGTATTATTACAGCCGGATGGGGGCTTTCGATATGTCAGTCAAACTATTCCGAGAGGTCGTCACTGAAAAGCCTTTGAATCTCCTGTGGAAGTACGGACTTGGCCTCATGTACAGACGCATGACAAACGTCAACGTGTGTTACTCGGCAACCAAGGAATACAACCTATCAGAGCTCATCTCCCTGGCAACGGGATGTCTGCTGGACGTCACCAACAGTGACGACCCACAACTCCGAGGTTTAGCTTACACTCAGCTGATTGTCATGTTGAACACATACTCCACAACTAAACACTCTGATTGTTTTCAAGGCTTTAATGGTGACGAGTTGTGTGAGAAAGCTCTGATGGACGCGGCTGACAACCCAACGGTTCTCTGTCATTGTGGTAAATACTTCAAAAACTCAGACATTGATAAGTCTATAGAATTAATCGAAAAATCTCTCTCTATAAGAAAGAATACGATAGCTTTCCATTATCTGGGAATATGCTATGAAGAAAAGGCCGAGACACTTGCAATGGGTTGTTTATCTCCAAAGGAAAAATATCTAAAAAAATACAGCCCTACAAAAAGTCCCTTTGACATACAATCATCAAAGAAGCTATTAGATGAAAACTGCAGTCTCGTTCAAAAATCTGAAAAGAATTATAAAGAAGCTATTATGTTATCTAAACAGAGAAATATACCATCCATACTTAGTCTAGGCAAACTTTATCAAAGATCGAATCGTTTTAAACAAGCTCTGCAACAATTTAGGCAAATTATACGTCTGGAAGACACAAAGGTGGACTACCTAGTAGCCTTAATTACGGCCTATGAAGGGGCAGGTATTTGTTTGCAAGAGCTCCGCAAAATACATCAAGAAAAAAGCCAGGAGTTTTATGTGCAAGGGAGAGAATACTTCACCAAAGCTATCAGCCTTGCTGCCGATCTCGCATCCATGAAGTCAGGTCCGCAACAATGTAGAACATTTGTATGGAAATCATTTGAAATGTTAAAAAAAGATATTGACTGTATGAATGAATGTAAAGATAAGAGTAAGGAGTACATCCGACTATTAAAACTTATAGGAGATTACAGGGGAATTGTTACTGCCATAGAAACTATTTTGAAATCTGAGACAAATTTGGATGACCCGGAAATGGTTTTATTTGCCGTAAATAGTTACTTGGAGATGGGGGAATATGAAAATGCCTTGACCTTTGTCAATATGATTGAACTTGCTTCGGCGTCGATTTTGAAAGAAATGGATAACACTGCGTTCGAGAGGTCTAAGCTCAATGAGCTTCAAGCCACCATTGCTAAAGTGTTTCTCTTTGTTGCATGGGAACGTCTACGAAAACAATCATCAGACGCTAAAAGAATATTTCAAAAGTTGTTTGCCACAAAGTACGGAGAGTGTTCAGGAATGCGATCAGAACATGAAGCCGAGGTCACCGCCACTAAAGCCGACATTCTGATTGTGAATGACACTTTTCAAGATTGTGAGGAGGGTTTGAGTCTTTCTTCTAGAATGGCCAAGCAATTACAACATCTCTTCTTTCAAGTTTTCGGTTTCAAATCATTTCGTAACTTGGAGGTAACGTTTGAAAAAAAAACAAATTTATATCTATATATTTATTTTATATCTATATATTTATCTCTATCTCTATCTCTCTCTCTCTCTCTCTCTCTCTCTCTCTCTGTATATATATATATATATATATATATATATATATATATATATATATATATACATTGAGAACATGAAATTGTTATTTTTCTTTTCGCTTTAACAGGATTTTAATTATAATTTTTTTTTTTTTTTTTTAAATTGAGATTTTCTTTTAATTTTTTTAGTATATGAAAATTGTTCTTGTATACATGTATTTCGTTCTCTTATTGTGTAAGAAGGTTTAATAATTTTTAAATTTTTAAGTTTTTTGAAACTACTGTTCCAAAAAATCTTAAAAGGGAATTCCCTATGTCAAGACGACTAAGATAGTAAACGTTGACCCAGATGAGGGAAAGTATTAGTAGCTTCTTAAACGGAGCCGAATTAACAAAATGGAAGTCATGAGAAGGAAATTTTGACCCACATTTAAAAAAAAATATATATTCACATTAAGGGGCAAAACAGATAAATGTATAAACTGTTTGTCGTTTAGTTGTTAGATTAAAAATATCTGCAGGCTCACAGAAATACTTTATAAAACAAAATCTGGCAAATTAACATTAAAATTGTATAATATTAAGCAGCACGATATTGATATTCCAGGAAAATAACGTGTTCAGTTGCAATGCGATGGAGCTACTCTGCGAGGAAATGAAAAGCTATCCGATCGTTTTCTTTGTCTTAACTGAAGAAGAAAGGTAATCTATTTAGATCAGAAAATACTGCAAACATTGTGGTAGGAAACCTTTTTGTTTCTGATGGAATGCAAGTGATAGTCCAATTAATAGGTTGCACTTATAGTCATTGTGCTATGATTTGATGTTGACGTTCGTTACAGTAAGTATTTATTTTATATTTTTGTAGTTAACGTACGATTTTATTAGCAGTGTGGGAATGTTAGATGTCTTGAAATAAATATATATATATATATATATATATATATATATATATATATATATATATATATATATATATATATANTATGTTGTTACATGGTATGGCAGTTTTGTTTCTTGTACCCGCTGACTTGGTCTTGTCAGCGAATCACATTCCAGTAAGAATGATAAGTCCCTAGATCAGTAAGGCGCCAGACATGAGACCAAGAGTTTACCGTGAGCATCATTTTTTAGTTAAAGTTATTTATTTGTCGCCTTCTAAATTGCACCATCATCATCGCTGACACTACAACATTTTTGGGGCTCTGGCCTGGTTCACACATCCTACGTTTCGGATAAGGACATGCATATTATGTAAATATTAAAACTGTTAGGAAAAGCCAAAACTTTAAAAGAAAACTTGAAATTAAAGATAAACTACCTTATAATCTGATTCGCAAATAAATTACATACCGGAGGTCTTAATTATTTTTCTTAAAAATACATTAACAATTACACAGTCGAAGTTCTCATTGAACATATACATTTTTTCACAAATATAGTATTGAATTTTTCATGGCCTGTCTTGCTCTCCTCTCCTTGACTCGTTCAATAAACTATTGCAATGGACGTTTTAAAACAAAACAAACACCATTCTAATATTAAAATGTTTATTATCACTTTGCTTCCAGGGACCCATTATTCGACCACATGCTCCAGACCATACCAGAAATAAGAGATCACAAAAATAATCCAATCAACGTGTTTATCCTTCAGTCCAGTGAGCAGGTCATCATTCCTGACATGTTGCTCAGATACAAACAGCAGCGATTTACTTTACCCCAAGATGATCCTATTTTGTCAATTAAAGAGACCGGTGGATGTTTAGATGAGACAAACTCAAGTGATACAGATCAAGTACCTACTGCATGTTTAGATGTGACCAACTCCACCGACACAGACCAAGGCCAGACTGACTGTTTGAATGTGACGACCTCAAGTGACAAAGGCCAAGGTCACACTGCATGTTTGAATGTGACGACCTCAAGTGACACAGACCAAGGCCAGACTGCATGTTTGAATGTGACGACCTCAAGTGACACAGACCAAGGTCACACTGCATGTTTGAATGTGACGACCTCAAGTGACACAGACCAAGGCCATACTGCATGTTTGAATGTGACGACCTCAAGTGACACAGACCAAGGTCACACTGCATGTTTGAATGTGACAACCTCAAGTGATACAATTCCAGAGCTGAATCCCCAGTTTAATCAAAATGACGTCATCGTGGATCGCATCATGTCGCTGGTTTGCTTCCTGCTGCATTTGGATTTTGAACAAATTACTACTGATTTTAGCAAATGTAAAAACTTGACTTAGAGAAATGTATTACTTCGTATGGTCAACATTTAAATTAAAAAAAAAAATTAAATAATATATTTTTTTTTAAATGAAGAAAAGTTTAAGCATAAAGCATGCACCAGTTTGTTAAACTCACACTTTAGTTATTGACATGAGTGGTGAACATGGATGTTTCTGTTTATTACAACACACCATTTTCTGAATTATTTCGGCATAAAGATTCTAACATCGATTTCAACTAATGCAAATATGTTAACTGCTATAAAATTAGTTCATAAACGTAAATATTTTAATATTGCAAATATATACATAAATATAACTTCAGTTTAATGGATAGTTGTCAAGTATTGTGCCAATTATTAGACATGTTAACATTATTGAATGGTGCGTTGTGCGATGATGACTCGTTGGTGCACGGATGAAGCTTTACACAAGTTACACACTTGAGTTAAAATATATGTTTCCAGAGGCGTAGCGAGGGGGTTGCAGGTGGGGACAGATGCCCCCGGGCGCCAGCTAGTTAGGGGGGCCAAAATGTGCTTTGTTATTATTTTATTGAAGAAAAAATGGGTTTGAGAGTTGAAAAAAAGAAAAGGGGGCGCTTTAAAAGGATCTTGTCCCTGGGCGCGAATCTTGTCCCTGGGCACCAAACACCCTCGCTACGCCTCTGTGTGTTACCACTTGTATGCATTTGTGCACTATTAATTCTCACTCACAATATCTATAAATAAAAATGTGTATGTGTAGATATACAGTGAAAATCGTTTAATTCGAAACGTATAGGACCGAAATATTTCTTCGTGTGAAACAATATATAATCAGGACCACATTATTATTTCCTGTTAAACGTATTTCTCTTACTATATATAGATATATTTAGTATTATTATTATTTTTATCATTAGTGGTTTTATTTAGTGTTGTACTGCAGCCTAGGGCTGGACTCACCCCGCTGTACATACAATTTAACAAAAATAATTATGAAGTTAAAAGATTTATTAATCTACATTGATTAAAGGGAACCAAAAAAAATGTATATTTAAAATTATTTACATGCCAAGCCATGGACGACACTCAGCTGTATCGTTGTTTTAGGTCAGAGGTGGGAATCAGTCGGGATAACAGAGTTTAAAAAGATGTGTTTTGAGTGCAGTTTTAAAAGTTGTGATGGTCGATATATTGCGGATATATAAACACATACACACACACACACACACACATATATATATATATGTATATATATATATATGTGTGTGTATAAACAATAAAATCAGTTTTAATATTTATAAATGATTCAATATAAAAAATAGAAGCTGTTAGGAGTTTGAAGTAGCATAATGCTATTCAATACAAATTTTAATAGTATGTATCCTGGTGTGATGACTTAACGTAAGTTTTTTCGACTGTATGTTCGAGTTTGAATTTTTTTTTAAAGTTAATGTTACAATAACATTGACAATTGTTTATGTCTTATGCTTTCTATCGTTTTGTCGGTATAATGGTCTTTAGTTCACTGTTACGTATTGTTTATTTATCGATCCAATTTTAAAAATAACAAACTAAAGGGTTAAATTTGTTAAAGGTGCGTAAAATACCAATCATTTCAATTTTACAACTAAATGACCAATTTCCAGTCAAGCTATTGAACTGAAATTTGGTTAGTCGACTCGTTTCCGATGACAATATAATCTTTCAATTGTCACTAGTTAACCCAACCCCCCCCTCCCCCCCCCGAAATCATCTTTTTGTTTTTTTCATGGGCAAGATGAAGGAATTATGAAAATATTCATTTCATGAGATTAATGTTGAAGCTATGCTATTGAGATGCTATTGTGGTTGAAACTGTGATAGTTAGATGATATGGTTTTTTGATCTGTGCCATTAAGATGATAATGTGGTTGACTCTGAGCTATTGAGAAGACATTGTTGTTGAAGCTGTGCTAGCGAGATGATGTTGTCGCTTAAGCTGTGCTGGTAATTATGATATTGCCGTTGCAGCTGTGCGGGTGAGATGATATTCTGGCTGCAGATGTCAAAATCTTGTTATTTTAAAAATATATCATTAATTTTTGTTTTCTTTTTTATATATTGATTCTTGATGTGTCACAGACCGTACAGAATTTTTACATGAAAGCCCCAGTAGAATTATTGAATATTTCTCAACATCAGCCGGTCCACTTTGATATCAAAACGATTTGAAGCAGTACATTTTGCATCTACTCAAATTTTGAGCTTTAATTTTTAATTCAAAATGTAATCCCTAAAATTACCTAACCTTTTGTTTTTACATCTTAGTGTCATAATTTCATCAAGGTTAATGCCTCTAGCTTTTTGAAATGCCCTGTCTTTAGACAATAATGGTTTGCTGTTGTCTCTTCAGCTCTCTGGACGCATTTGGATTCATTTAAAATAGATAATTAAATGTCTAGTGAGGTATATTCTTTTATAACTTCCTTTGATAAATTCATGTTGTAGAACAACAAAGTGAAGCAGTTGAACTTATAGTTAGAATGCAAATTTAAATATTTGATTATTCCCATCTCGCATACACATTTTAGTTTAGGCCTTAAATTAATGTTAAAGTATGGCTTCATACACGTCTGTATGCGCCTAGACGTGTCTGGCGAAATGTGGATCTTGGTGTCCTGTGGTCATCCACCCTTCGAATCCAGACGCTCATCCGTGGGAGATCCTAGTCTCCTACTTCAGCACACAAACCAGTGTAACCGACATAGACACAGCAACACTGATATATATTGATACGAGTACAATGCTATAATTTTATTATGCCTCGTCAAACACTGACAGATCAATGTACTTCAACAATACAACTCGTAAACTATAGATCAACGTTCCTTTTCAATGATCTATCTAACCGAAACCTCACACAAAGAACAAGTTACGCCTCGAATATCACACAAGGACCATCTATACCTTCTATCCACAACCAAAACTTACGCGTCATTTCCCCCCTACACAAATACGTCACAAAACTCTCACAAAATAGATGCAGCTACACATGAAATCTCTAAACAAAACATATTTTCCCAACCTAATATAACAACAGTGATCAACACATAACAACAGTGATTCTCATACCCTTGACAGTGCCTAACAGACATCCGTTATTATGTCATGGCGTTTTTTTCATTAAAATTCAAAAGAAAAACACGGACAAAATATTCTATTGTGCATACCCCAGAGAAATTTATTGAAATGTTGCTCAAAGTGCCATGAATCGGAATTCAACAAACTGCAATCCTATAGTTCAAGACGGCGTGCTACAGTTTGTCTGTTTCAAATTCAATTCTTGGAATCTAAAAAAATGTCTTTATATTCGTGCAAAACTATCACAAATTATTTTCACCAAACTTAGATAAATGGACAAATGCACACTAAATTACAAATGATAAGAAGTCATGGGTATATACACAACCAATTAGATCTCCTCTAGAGTAATTGACTTACACACCACTAATCACATCTGGTGATGAGTAGTGGACACATGCATAACCAATAATTGTTAGATCTCGTCTGGAGTCATGGACACATGCACAAACAATTACGTCTGGTCTTTTAGAGGACACATACACAACCAAATACGAACTGCTTTAATTTTATTATTCAATGCGTATTTATGGAAAATGAAATTAAAAATATTACCAACTTGCATTCAGCCCTTCACCTGTGTAGAATTTCTGGAAAAGCATTGGTGAAATCTTGCAGCCCACTTATAAGTCTACTAATGCTATATTCTGAATAATTCTAAATATAATTTTCTTATCTCAATTTCATTAAAGAAGATAAAAATATTTTACTTGGATGAGAAAATACTGTGAGGTGTTTAAGTTTAAATATGAATATTAAAAAAAAAAATTGCATTTAGAGTGACAACTTCATTTCAATTTCAGTATAACATAACTAACAATATGTATCTTATCTCCTCATCTCTACACACATGTAATTTCTACTTATTTAGAAAGATTTAAAAATCTATTAGAAGGTGATTTCACACAAAAGTGTCATAACCATTTATTTATATTTGCAATTTATTTTTGTACTTAAATTCTCCAGATTCCGAGCACTTCAATCGGAATGAATTCAAAGAGCCTTGATGTTATTTTGGTTTCATTATTGAAATCGGAAATTCCCGTTTCTGTAGTTCATTCCTTTACTTCATAAATAAACGTCCTTGACCTGTTATCAGACTGCATTACACACACAATGTGACACAGAATATGTTCTGGCTTTAATCGTTAAAATTGTGTGGGCTTCACTACAGCGTTAAAACATGTTTTCAGACAGACATCTCGGCAGCACTCAGGTAAATTATGTTAGTGAATGTATTAACATAGTAAATATAAGGTGTACACATTGGACATAATGATATTTGATAAATAAATTTGAGTATCATCTATGTTATTAATCATTCTCGATTTAAAAAAAAAGAGAACATTTCACTTTTTTGTAATATTTTAATAACATATGTATAACGCTGAACTATTCTATTTTTATACCGTCTTTAAAATAAATCATTATAACAATAACTTTATTAAATAATTAAAATAAAGTTTGGCTCAAGTAAAATTAGCAGGCACGCTCTTCAATAGCACACTCCATATAATCTTCCCGATGTGATGGCTGCATGGATCGATATCCTAGGGCGAAGGCCATTCACAACATGGCGGGTGAACAATTGGACTTGGGACAACAAGGAGGGTGGGTGGTGGGTGAGGATGTTCTCATTTTCCTAACATTTTACAAGATGCTTTAAAAATGTATTTTCTAAGTTAAAAAGGAATATACCATTAATGAAGATGGAAGCATGACACAATTAACAAGGGTGATTCGCGTGTGAAAGACGAACACAAAATGAAACAATAATGAGTTATGTATATTGTAGTCCCTCGGGTAAGTGTCATCAAAAGAATTCATGGACAGTTAAGTGTACGTTTATTTAATTGTTTTAATAGTGTTATAGTTGCATTTTGATTAGTGGCCTGGGAGCCTTATGGTTCCATTTTGTGATACAATGTTAGAGGGCTGTTGTTGTTGTTTTTTTCTATCCAACACTACACAAAGTTTGTGCTCTTACTAACATTATATTATCATAACAGTATATGAATTTATTTCAGTAATGCCTACAATTAATTGAAAGGCTTGTAGGTTTTTGTCTGTTTGCCTATGTTTTCCACAGTTAAAACGTTGTAATCTCTTATATGAGGAAACTTATTTTATATGTTCTAAGATCTGTTTGGAGCAGTTGAATCATTTTAGGTTTTGTTATCTTAAGCCTTGAAGTTTAATCGACTGAACCAATACAATATTTTTGTATTTCACAAACTCTTTGCTCTTACTGATAAAAAAGGACTCTGTTTAGTCATTGTATATATGATAGTAAGAAAAAGCCGGGGGCTGGAATTGGGACTGGAGTAAGGGACTGTAGGAAGGACTGGGGTCAGTGAATTGAGTGGAAGACTGGAATTGCGGACTAGAGTTGGAGATGGAGTGGGGGACTTTAGGAGAGATTGGAGTCGAAGACGGAGTGGGGGACTGGAGTTGGAGACTTCAGTGGGGGACTTTAGGAGAGACTGGAGTCAGAGACGGAGTGGGGGACTGGAGTTGGAGACTTTAGTGGGGGACTTTAGGGGAGACTGGAGTCGGAGACGGAATGGGGGACTGGAGTTGGAGACTTTAGGGGGGGACGTTAGGAGAGACTGGAGTCGGAGACGGAATGGGGGAGGGACTTTAGGAGAGACTGGAGTCAGAGACGGAGTGGGGGACTGGAGTTGGAGACTTTAGTGGGGGACTTTAGGGGAGACTGGAGTCGGAGACGGAATGGGGGACTGGAGTTGGAGACTTTAGTGGGGGACTTTAGGAGAGACTGGAGTCGGAGACGGAATGGGGGACAGAAGTGGGGGACTGGTGTTAGGGTAGTGGAGAGGGGGGCTGTATTTAGGGAATTGAGTGTGGGAGCGGAGTGGGAGACTGGAGTGGAGGGCTGGGTTGGGGGACTGTAGTGTGAGATTGAAGTGGGGGGAATGGAGTGGGAACTTGTGTGGTGGACTGTAGCGGGAGACTGGAGTGGGGGAGAGGAGTAGGGGACTGATGTGGGGGACAGGGTTATGGGACTGTAGAAAGAACAGGAGTGGGGGGCTGTAGGGGGAAACGGAGTGTGTGACTGAAGCAGGGGACTGCAGTAACGGACTGATGTGGGGGACTTAAGTGTGGGACTGGAGTGGGGGACTTAAATGGGGGACTGGAGTGGGGGACTGTAGAAAGGACTGGAGTGGGGTGACTGGTGTGGGGGACCGGAGTGTGACACTTGAATGGAGGATGGAGTGTGGGACTTGAGTGGGGACTTGAGTGCAGACTGAACTGGGTGACTGGAGTTTGAGATGGGAGTGGGGAAATGAAGTGGGTGACTGTATTCTGAGACTTGAATGGGAAACAGGAGTGGTGGACTGGAGTGAGACACTGTTGTAGAGGACTGTAGTGAGAGAATGTAATGGGAAACTGAAGTTAGGGACTATAGTGGGGGCCTTGAGTGGGGGACTGGAGTGGCCATACGGGATGGGATAATATTCAATAGGGGGATTTTTATTTTCTTTGAGACAAGATATTTGTTGACAGCCCAGGTCACAGACAACAGTATAATTATGCGGTTATAAAATGAACGATGGATTGTGTATAAAAATCTAATATTACATTTGAACAAGATAGTGATTAAACGTTTAAAGATATAAATAGATTAAGCCCATAAAATATAAAGTTTCTTTAATATATGAAATTTATGTCTATATATGTGTAATGTGTAAGCGATCAGTCGTCGTTTTTAGGTCACGTGGTTAAGAAAACAACTGAAGTTCAGACGGATCGGCGATGAAGTGACAAGCAATGCTATCCTTAATGGATTAACATTTTCTTTTGGTTTTTATCTATTTTTTTATAATTAGTTAACCATTTGTATCAACAGTTACATTTGTGTCAGAGTTAGGTTTTAAAGCAGAAATACACTCTTTTTTTATTGTGTAGTATTTTGAAAGATGTTGTGGTCCAAGTATTAATATTTTAACCTTTTGCTTTACAAGATAATCAGGTTCTCTAGAAGCATGTGATATACTGGTGATTTAATCAAATTTGGTTTCTGCTCCTGACGTGAAGTCTTTTCGTCATTCGTTTTCTTGTTTAGCATACACTGTTAGTGGAGATGAAATACTTGAGTATTATTTCAATGTGTTGTTCGTCCGTCGAGGATCGACGATGACCATCGAGTCGTCCGGTGGCTGATGACTTGCGTGGGTGACTTTTGTTTAAAGTGAGGAAGAGTTGCGCGGCGTCAACCTCACTCTCTCGTCGGGCCCACCATATCCAGTGGCAAGACTCTACGTCAAGACGACCAGGGATGGGTACGGTTGCAGGAATTGTCATTGTTTGCGCCTTACAACTCCAACTCCGGGTTTGAATTTAGAGTTTCCTTCTCTTAGATGAGTTGCCGACCAAGGTTAACGAGTCTCATCCATCTGGGGCTATGTTTTTGCTTGACCGGCCCTTGGCTGGAAAGAAGCAAAGATTGCAAAAATACCACTGACATTAACAAATTAGGAATACTGAGTTTATAATAATGAAATAACTCTATTGAAAAGCAGCATACAAAATATATAGTATTATCTTTACAAAACAAACTCATAAAATATTTTTTTTTCAGGATTCAAGAATGGATGCATTGCTAAAACGAATGGAAGGCTTCCCTTGCACGTTTAATCTAGAAGGCCGACCCCCAAATAGACAGCGGCTTCAACACATGAAAAACAACGTCTCAACAGACAAACCTGTGGGGAAATACGCAACAACTCAGCGCATACGGAACAAAAATATTTTAACTTGGCTGGAGTATAAACTTGACCCAGAAGATAACAAGGCCAAACAAATCAACCAGGAAGTGATCACAGAAACGGAAGGGCTCAACATTTCAGCATTGGGCAACCGTGTGTTTATATTATCGCATGAAAGCAATGAAATTGACGCAAGCGACTACTTGAAAGAACTGGAAGGTATGAAGTATCGTCCAGATTTTCAGGATTTGATAACAGAAGCCAAGGCCGAGCAGGCGTATTATTACAGCCGCATGGGAGGATTTAACAACTGTGACATGTCACTGAAGTTGTTTAAATATGTGGTTCAACTCCGCCCTGACAATCACTTGTGGAAGTTCGGACTCGGTCTCATGCACAGACGGATGACTAATTTTAATGTTTCCTACTCGTTGGTCAATCAATCGAACACGGCCGAAAATATCAGACGGGCCAAGGACTGCCTGCTGGATGTCACAGAGAGTGATGACGATGAGCTCCAGGCGTTAGCTTACACTCAGTTGATCATTCTCTTCTATACATACTCTACTTCACATGAAGGACAATGTTTTCAAGGCTTTGACATTCTAAGTTTGTGTGAGAAAGCTTTAGAGAAAGGAGGTGAAAATTCAACAGTTTTATCGCATTGTGGACGGGTTTTCATGAAATACGATATTGACAGAGCTATTGTATTATTAGAAAAAGCTCTATCAAAAAGACAAAACACAATTTCGTATCACAATTTGGGACAATGCTTTGAAAGAAAAGCCGAGTTAATTTGCATATCAGGAAATGAAAATTTGGAGGGTAAGACTATGGATCAGGAGCTACAATGTAAAACTGTGTCAGAATCTAAACCATCTGAAGAACAACTACAATCTTTCGACATTGATCATACTATCGTATTGAAGAGACATCTGATGAGTAGCAAAGCTAACCTCGACGAGGGCAGTGATTTTGTTAAAAAATCAGAAGATATGTATCAAAAAGCGATAACCATCTCAAAGAACGAAAATGTCCCGGCAATGCTTAGCCTGGGTAAGCTTTATGCAAGATTAAATCGTTTCAAAGAAGCCCTCCAGAAATTCAGACAGATTATTAATCTCGATCAAACAAAGAGGAGCTACTTGATTACTTTGATCACGGCCTATGAAGGGGCGGGAAAATGTTTGCTGGAGCTCAGTAAAATGCATCAGGAGAAGAGTCATGAGTTCTATGAACAAGGAAAAGAATACCTCACAAAGGCAACAAGTCTCGCTGCTGATTTGGCGTGCATCAAATCAGGTCCAAGGCATTGTGAAACGAGTGTATGGGAATCGTTTGAAATATTGAAGGAAGACATCTACCGTATGGATGAATGCAAAGCTAAGGGAAAGGAATATGTCAATCTACTAGGTCTAATAAAAGATAACAGGGGCGTAGTAACTGCAATTGAAGATATTTTGAAATCTGAGACAAAGTTGGATGACCCGGAAATGGTTTTATGGGCGGTGAATAGTTACTTGGAGATTGGAGAGTATGAAAATGCCTTGACCTTTGTTAACATTGTCTCATTATTTGCTTCTGGGATAAGTTTGAAAGATAAGGAAAACACGGAACCAGAGGGTTCTAAAATTAAAATCCTTAAGGACGCCTTTACAAAAGTTTTTTTGCTTGTTGCTTGGGAACGTTTGGACAAGAAATCACTAGATGCTAAACTAATGTTTCAAAAGTCATTCGCCATTAACTATGGAGTGGGAACAGATCATTTCTCGGAAAATGAAGAAGATTTTGCAGCTGTCATTCTTATCGTTAGTGACTATGAAATTGATTGTGAAGAAGGTCTCGGTCAGTCTACCAAATTTTCCATATACTTGCAACACATTCTTTCTGATGTTTTTGGATTAAAAACATTTCTGAACCTTGAGGTAGGGATATATAATTATTAAATATCTACATATTTTAATTCAAATAATTGTTCTTTGGATCATTTGAATTCTAGAGGTAAAATCAAATCAGAGGCACATTTTGATATAAAATGCAACTTAAATTTCTAAGAGTAAATCGATCTTTATTATTGGTTATATTTTTTTAAGCATTCATTTTTTAAACTAATTTTCACTTAAATCCATCAAAATGCATATCTTTTCTTTGTGAAGGGAAGTGATGAATACGGCTGCTCCGAAGACGTTCTTCGGCTAAGTGAGGTAAAGAAATATCCCATTCTTCTCTTGATGTTGGCAGACGGAGAAAGGTAATGTTAATTTCTATTTTTGAATTGGGCAAAAAAAAATAATAAATTTGAAATATATATTATTTAAATTAATTTAGATAATAACATTTCAAAATATTTAAATCGGCCAAATTTGATTAAAGATCTCAAGAAAAAAAGATTTTTTTAAAAATGAAACTTTAATCTTAAGATAAAATTTATTTTTAACGTATTATTTTCAGGGGACCATTCTTTGACTACATTCTTTCCATACTTCATCAAATAAAGGACGACTTTGATAAGCCACTAAACTGGTTTATCATTCAATCCAATGAAAACATCCGACTTCCTGACACCTTACTTCACTGCAATGAGCGACGCTTGACTTTGAGTGAGGACAATCCAATTTTATCGAATGCAAACAGTTCGTGTAGCTCCTATGATCTTAACAGATGTGAAACTGAGAAGGCGTGCACTCTACCCAATGACATCGATTGTGAACGCCTTATGGAAATGTTTTGTTTTTTGCTTCGTTTGGATTTTAAAAACGTTCGTGACGTGTACATTCAAAGTAAAAACTTCGTCTCGGATGAATCTTGAACAAAACAATGTTCATATTGATCATGACTTGAGCCAAGCTTCTCTTAAATACACATACATTTTTAATTAAACCACGACAATTTAAATGCTAATAAAATATGTAGCATACATATGCCATATGTCTACACTTTATGATAGTTAAAACGAAGCACGCGTTTAAAATGCAGAGATTACGTCAACCAATGTACCACAGGTTACTCAAATTTAAATCCCTCTTTAAATGAAACAACCCTTAAAATCAATTTGTTCGTATAAACCTCTCAATAAAATTAAGTATCTTGGAGATGGGGCTGAAAATTGAACAAAAATGCATACAAGTAACGCACTTGATAAGAATCCCAATTAGTGGTTTCTCTCCCCCCCCCTCCATACCCAATGGTCCACAGCCTACATTTTGCCCCGCCCCTGAACTATATTAATTTTTTTCTAATGACCCACGCGTTTTTAACTGCAGCTATATTTCACCAACTGTATCGGTAAACCAAAGATTATATCACGCATCAACGCACTTGCGATATTTGTGTTTTAAAAATCGTATTTATGCAGTTATGGGTTATTTCATTTCATGAAATTAGAGTCATCATAGTTCCTTCGTCTTGATCTTGAAAAACAAGAAAACGGCTTTTTTTCGGGTTTGGATTCTGGGGAGGGACTGAAAATTTATTAGATTGTGTTGTCATCGGCAATGGACCGTTGGAAGATTTGGCCAGCCAGCGTCCAAGCAAAACGAAGTTAATATAAATGATTAAAAAGAAATTCATTTTCAAAATGTTTTCCATTAATGTTTGTCTATTTTATAGTTTATATAGTTTACGTTATAAATATCGATCTTACTTTGAGATTCTAATTATGGGAAGTCGTTAAATTCCAAAGTTTATATAGCTTACGTTATAAATATCGACCTCACTTCGAGATTCTAATTATGAGATTTCGTTAAATTCCAAAGTTCAGACCTAAGATGTTAACTTGATATTTTTATTTAAAAAAAAAAAAATGTTTCTGTGTTTCTAGCCGGAAATTTCAAATTTCAATTGTCTGCCCCTTTGTCTGGTAGGGTTAGGCAGAGTCGAAGAGTATAGTAAACGAAATCAGAATCTTGATCTGCCTTTTTCATATATCTGGTATGCTGTAAATATCCTTTACAGCTATGACACTTTCTCTAATCTCTTACAATTTTATTTGTTGAAACATGGATCGAATTGGGAAAATAATTTTTATAGACCAGTGCAAAAATAAGTGTAAAAAAAAGATAATGTTTTTGTGTACAAAATATATCGTTAGTCAATGTAACTCTTGTTTAAAATGCTGCAATAAATTTACTTTAAAAAAAAAATACATTTCATAGGCATTTTGATCATACATTTGTGTGCTATTATATAATCCTCTTAAGTACGGTCTCTTAGCAGTTAAACATAGCATCAATTGATAATTAACACAATGATTTATTGTAATAAGGACTATCTATAGCACCTGCATCTAACACCTACTCGTCGTAACATTAGATGGATGTTTGAAATAAACAACTGCTCCACTCTATCAAAAGATTCTGCTTTAAATTTGCCATGTTTTTCTCACACAGAGACTGAAAAAGCAAGTTTTCGCTGATCCCAGTCCAATTTTTAAAAATTGCAAATAATTTTCTTTAATTTTTTAAAATAGTCTGCTAAAGAATTGGTCAGTCTCTTTTTCAAGCTTAAACATATCTTTGCTCTGAATTGTATCTTGACCTTCACAAACACGCTGCAATCACTTTTCTTAACAGCGAAAGTCTGCGTCACAGAGACATCAATACGTCACACAGTCCCTGACCACACACGAAGCACAAATGTTCCAACTGTTAAGACGCACCACACCCACATCATAAAGTCAACAACCCAATCGATTTACTTCATTTTTTTTTTTTTTTTCTAGTTTACAAAACTCACGGCTGTTGGGCCAGCAAGTTTACACTACAAAGTTGGTATAAAAAGGAGAACATTTACATTTGATAAAAAGGTAACTATAAAACGTTATACAAAATAAAATGTAAACAATACTTTACAAGTAAAACCTTTATACATGTCAGTTTATGGGAATGTTCATTGCAACAATATCCACTAAAATAGTGCGTGTTTCCAGTATCAACTAAAATATTTGCAACATTACAAAATTGCATTATGTCTAAAAAATAGGTTTTTATTACGGAGAGCGTTTTAATTTTTAATAAATGCATACCAAATAATGTATTGAAAAGAATAAGTTAACACATACAAAGGAATGGCTACGACATCCTTACTGTTGTCCACTGGAATATGTTGTAAAAAACCCGGTACCAATGTATATTTTAAAAAAAATTATTACAAAATCTTGTCTAATTTAATCTAAACAACATGTATGTTTAGATTTAGTTAGACAATGTCTTTAAAGCCAATAAAATTATATAAAATTAACTTAAATTGCATAGCTACAATATATAAACAAAAGAAAGGTATTTAATGTTGTAACAAAATTAACATGCCTTAAAAAAAAATGATAATTGAAAAGATTGACTATAAGGCACAAATCCTGCCTTTTTAAAATATACGTTTTGTTTTAGCGATATAATTTGTCGTGGAGCGAATTCACTTGGTTTGTTTGTCTGTGTGAAGTTTCCAAGAAACGTGTTTTCCTAATTCATTAGTTTGTCAAATGTTTTTCTACATCATCAAGTTTAATCAAAATCCACACCAGCACAACTGAAATTTTCTCCGTTTGAGTTGACTCCACTGTGGACAATACCACCAATATAATTCCAGTCATTATGACCGATCAGGTGGACGTAAGCCCCACTACTGCCTGGACATGTACACGCTGTGTACGTGTACTTGGACCACCCGTGACTGACCTCTTGCTTGTTTATCCAATTCCCCACAGAAACCTTTTTCGGACCGCCGTGTGGGTGTGATACTATGAATGTAAACTTCTGTCTGTCCCTGGAACTCTTGTATTTGTTGTTGACTTTATACCAGAGGTTAAACCGCCAATTTTTCCAAATCTTCTCCAGTTGATCCAGCACGGGTAGATCGCACGTCACACACTTTAAAACAATCCAGCCTTGCTCAATGTTGAAATCATCCACCATCCAGCCGGCTAGAGCAGCGAGTTGACTCTCTTCTCTGTTATAGAACAATCTGCACGTGGTGTATTTGGCTTCCTGTTCATCAAACACCAGCTCAGACGCCGTCAGCATCCTTACCACGCCCCAGACTTTGCAGGGAGAATTGGAATGGAAACATTTGCGACACTTGCAAGTTCCTTTGTTGTATTTCTCTGTCCACTTTTCTACCATACACACCAGGCCAGTCCCTGTCCGCAGGACATTACTTCCTTTAATATTATTAAAAGCGTATCGAGTTTTAGAGTTTGGCCAAAATTCTGGTCTTTTTGTACTGGTCATTTTGACTTCTATCCTGACAGTCAGATGAGCTGTAGCTTTGATGAACTCAACTATTTCCTGGTCTTGGATACCGTTAGGCAGGTGATCGGTGTTAAAATCATGCATAGGTACAAACCGTGGGTGACCTGGATTCTTCTTACAACTTTTGTAATATTCAAGAAGTTTTGCTTCTCCTCCATCGGACACCTGGGTTTCGTGTGATGCTGGAAAAACGGTATAAAATTAATTTTATAACACATTTATTGACCCAATTCTCTGTTATCATTTATTACAACTGATTCTGATATTAATTTTGTCTACGCATTAAATTAACACCTGTCAAATAAACTAATAATAAGTAATAAATTTTTTTAAAAAATAATTTAATTAGACTAATTGTATTTATGCAAAATAAAGAAAAGTAATAACTAACATAAAAAGATATTTAAAGAAAATACATTATATTTAAATGTTGCATCATTAATTACAACCAAATGAAATGCATGTCGCTATTCGTTGTTTGTATACTATTTTAAAAAAAATAATTAAAAATCAATAAAATCAATAAATACCACGGCCAGTTTTCGCTTCATATCTTTTGATATGCCTGACTTGAGCTTCTTCATTGTCATCTGATGGAACATATAGAACAAAAATATTTTTATAAATATTTAAACTATGGAGAAAATATGAGTCTTATTTTTATGCCTTTGTAATTTCCATCGTTCTGATGTAAACTATGGAGGACAATAATATTATTACTTTTATGTTCCTGCAATTTCCATCTTTTATGTTTGAAATAAACCTGAGTATTTTTACCTGTTTCATATTTTATTTTCTGAATCTCTGTATGCATTATTTTATTGCTCTGAGCGATCTGTGGACATAAATAGTTGGCCAGTGTATTAAACATGATTACAACAGTTGGTAAGTCTATTACATATGATTACAATAGTTTTCAAATGTATTAATTTTTTTTTTTTTTTTTTTAAATGTAGACAGCATTGGTTACAGAATCCATGCTGATATTAAGCATTAAGATGCCACGTTCACAACAGCGTTCTCAGTTAGATTTTTTGTGTCGGGCAAATATTTGAATGTGAGATCCACTGGGTAATTTTCCTCAGTTCCTGCGTTTTATGTCGTGAAAAAATTTACATTACTGTGAGACTAACTGCTGTATAATAAAAAATAATTAGTGGTCATAGGTCATTCTAATTAGGGTCAGATTGAAGTAACGATAAAACTACTCATTACTTTTCAACAATTGCGTTGACATTTATGGAGTTGAATGTCATTTAGAAGTTTATTTCGAAATGTTTTCTACTAATTAATCCAAGAAATATAAATTTTACTTAAAAATCCTAACTTGTTGCTGTGATCGTTGAGTCAGACTAAGAAATATTAATATAAGCATTGTTTAATATAAACAGCCTTGAAATTGAGTTTCAAAAAGGTGCAGTTGAGAGGATGATATTGGTTTTTCGTCGCTAAATTTTTGAGGTGAAGAACAATTCTGGTCAGACGGCAACACATTCTTACCTACCACTGACTACAATCTTAACCTAAACCAACCACAATCTTACCAAACCCATACCACATTCTTAGAAAACACTGACCACAATCTTACCAAACATGGACCACAATCTTACCAAACATGGACCACAATCTACCAAACACTGACCACAAACTTACCTAACACTGACCACAATCTTACCAAACACTGACCACAATCTTAGCAAACACTGACCACAATCTTAGCAAACACAGACCACAATCTTACCAAACACTGACCACAATCTTACCAAACACAGACCTCAATCCTACCAAACATTGACCACAATCTTACCAAACACGGACCACAATCTTACCAAACAATGACCTCAATCCTACCAAACACTGACCACAATCTTACCAAACACGGACCACAATCTTACCAAACACTGACCACAATCTTATCAAACACTGACCACAATCTTACCAAACATTGACCACAATCTTACCAAACACTGACCACAATCTTACCAAACACGGACCACAATCTTACCAAACACGGACCACAATCTTACCAAACACGGACCACAATCTTACCAAACACTGACGATCCTTTTCCTTCTCAGCTGAAAACGTTTTCATCATGTTTCTCATTTCTGTTTTCTTTAAAAAAAACAACATAAATATATTCAAGCAAGAGAGATTAAGAACGAGCCATATAGAGACGGTACATTTATACATATATGTGTAGCATTCTTCCATCTTCACCAAACTATTGAGTATTTATTTACCCTTCATAAATAGCTCACTTGGTCACTGCTGTATTGTAAGTCTGTGCTGCATTTCTTGCAGGAGAACCTTGACTCCTGTTGAGATTTTGCGTTTCGTATTGCTCATATTTTTGCAAGGGCTTCGTTTCGCACACCATCTGCCACTTTAACTCCATACACTGCTGTTCGCTACTTGGAAAGTTGCTCAGCGAGGATCTAACGTTTGTTTATTTCTAGTTTGTCTTCTTTCAGGCTTCCTTTTCAAAAGTCCTTAAATCGTGCCCGTAAAATAAGGCTTGTCCCTTCTGTCAACTCTCCATACAGCAGATCTTTTGGGATTACGGCCTTCCTTTATTCACCTTCGATGGCCAAACCAGCTGGGCGCAATTTGCTAAGATTGGAGAATATGCTACACATTTTTTTTGCAGGTTTCAAGACCTCTGTGTTAGGCATCTTGTCCTGCCACCGAATGTTGAAAATGCGACGAATACAGCGAAGCTGTTGATTTTCCGCTCATGACTGGCATATGGGGTACCTACTTCAGTGCTATCAAAGAAGCTTACTTACTGCCCCCCCCCCCCCCCAATGCCTGATAGACATTTAAGTTTGCACTATCAATTAGTGTAAGATTATTCCACACCACCTTATGTAATTTAGCCTTGGCTGCGGCTGCTTTTACGATCCCGATATTCACCTCTTCGTCAACGGAGAGAGAACTAGAGATATTAGATCTAAGGTATGTGAGATTCTCCAACGACATGGCTTATTATGGCCCTAAATAGATATGTTTAAAGGTGACGGTGGTTGTTGCTTCATTACATTTGTTTTATGTAGAGAAATTGACATTGGCAGCCCTTTACATGCGTGTGAGAGGGGATTAACTAGCCACTGAATACCTTCTCCTGTGTGCGATTCTCTCTCTACTCTCTACATATAGACAGAAATTGGGTGAGAGCGACAGAGAGAGTAAAGAAGTGATCAAAACTAACTGTCTTATTATAGATCCCGGAATTGTTCTGAATAGTTTTTGCAAAGTCTGTTCTTGTACACGAAAAATTACCCTTAAGTGAAACTGAATGTAAACTATGAATGCTATGGTCCGTCATAAAAAGACTCATTTACAACTTCAACTGCCCAAGATATGATATTCTTGCAATGATATAGATATGTTCTGCTAAATACACCGCTGACGAATGCTTATGCACTTTCAAGATTGCATGAGCTTCTGTACTGTTACATTTGGCGCATACATTCTTATTTGTATCAATCAAATCTTACCCAAAACTGCCGATCCTTTTGTTTCTCTTCTAAAAACTGTTCTTTTAAATTCTTCATTTCATTTTCCTGACAAAAAATACAAACAGTTGGCTAGTTGAAATTAATGTTGACAAAGTACAGACATGCACTAGGAGATGTGGATTAGTTTACCTATCTAGGAAGATAAGTTAGTAATGGTGGTTGATCAGAGGCAGATATCAAGGCAAGAGTACAAAAGGCTAATAAAGGTTTTGCTTATACTTTTAACTATTTGTACTTCTCGACAAATAAGGAGAAATGCACAAAGTCGAAATGTAACCCTGGCGTGATTCTGTTATGCCGTACTGCTCAGAAAGCTTGAGATCCCCTAAGACATATTGTAAAAGAGTGAACCCTTTTGTGAATTATCGTCTGCGGTAAGCTGAAAAAGACAAAAAAAAGGGAAACCCACTTAAATACCTAGGATATTTTAAAAGTCAAAAGGGCTGCCTGCTCTGCCGTTTTACAGCAGTGGTAGGTAAAGTAATGAATTGAGGACACGATTCCTCATACACTTAGAGCCGTGAAGAGGAGGGGCGAGAGGTTAACCGCTCCAGGCGCACACATCCGAAGGGAGGGGGCGGCAGTCTCAACCAGGTGTACCGAGCACCTATATCGGCATTTCAAACTGGCTGGCGGACAATTTTTGATCAAAACAATACAGAAAGTGTGCACAGAGCACGAAAGTCAGAGGTGTCTTCGTTACAAAGACGAATTAATTGTGAAAAATGAAAAGTCTTAACAGGATTAAATGAATGAAATAGTGAAACGAGGTATGTGGAAGCTTGAAATAAGGTAACAGGACAACACAGGATTAAGTGTGGGACGCTGAGCAGAGGAGGAGATAGCTGTTGCTGTCAGTTGGTTTAAAGTAGGCGGAAGTGAGTAGGTTGTCTTTGTTGTGGGTGACCGTAATGTCCAAAAAGTTGACTGAAGTCTCAGAGACAAAAAATGTAAATATAATGGAGGGGTGCAGGGAGGCTACAAAGTTGATGAAAAGTTCAAGTTCACTCCTCGCCATTGTTGGGGTCTAATTAATCCTCGCCATAGTGATGACCCCATACCATCATCAATGTATATCTTACAGCTTTTTAGAGTTTTTTTTTCCTACCATGTTCTCTAAATTCCCTATGAAAAAACATGCGTAGCTAAGTCCATTTTGTAGTCCCCATAATAACATTACTGACTTGGTCAAAGAATCGGCCACCAAACCCAAACGATTTGAGATTGAGAACAAGTTCAGTCAATCGAAAGAAGAGGTTTATACGCAAAGTGGATAACTTAAGAATAAGTTCAAAATATTTTGGAAAAAATCAATTAATCATTAAAATATTTCTAAACAAAATTCAATTGACTTTGTATTAGCCACGGTTTCAGAAAGGAAAGAATCTCTATTAGAAAATGTAATTCCATGTTTCGTCATCGGTAATGAGACTATGTGCAAAGATTCAGCTCAATCGTTTGACGGGAAGTGGGTGAATTAGCTGTCCAAAAATTAAGCCAGCCAGATACAAACAAAATCGAAGTTAAGATAAAGGATTTAAAAAATGGATAGAGGTTATTGTAAACTTTTGGTCGATTGCCATTTCCTCAAACGATGCCACGGAAATTATGCTTTGACATAATGAAGACGTGGTAGAGTAGTGGTACAGTAGTCTTCTAGTAAATGAATTTTGTTAGAGCAGTTTTGTGGTAAACAATGGTATATGTCACAGCCCAGCCGATGCATCTGGTTGCAATCTACTAGAAAAGACTTTAATTAAGCGAACGCTAAAGTCTCAACCAGAATGTATGTATTAGTTTGTGGTAAGCGTATGGAGCGTTGCGGTAGATGGTATTGGCGTGGCTTCAATATTCGGTAGTTAGATGAAGGGTGGTTGTCTTTTTTTTTGCTGGCATACGCCCGTCACAAATTTACCACGGTATAGACTTCGCAGGACTAAATGCACAAGGCCTGGGATAATTCTTCTAGTTCTGTGGAGAGTTCGGATCTGGGTGCGACGGGGGTTGGGGGAATCCCACAGCAGGGTACCGACCAGCTGACCAATGGGTCTAGCGTATCAGATCCCACAGCACGGTAACCGACCAACTGACCAAAGGTTGTAGCGTATCAGATTTCACTAGAATGGCCGTTTCACTGTGGGTTTATGACCATTTAGACAGTGGGAACATTTACGTCCCTGAGTTTGGGGAGTAAGATTAAAGACCTGGGAAGGAATCTCTATGGGCTCGGGACTTATAAATAGGAACCGTTGGACAGGACTGGGTGGAACTCAGCCGGACAGACAGAACTCAGCCGGACAGGGAAGCGGAAGGTCGAGGGAGAGCTACGCCGCCAGGAGGGCGAGCCGGACAGTCTACTGGACAGGAGTAGAGATAGACAGGAGAAGACAGTAACCCGGGACAGTCGGAGCAGAGTTTCAAGATTTTGAGTGTAGAGCAGATCCAATAAAGTGAAAGGCTACCAGTCAACTTGTTGTTACCTGAGTTTTGGAGTAAGAGAGAGAGACAGACAGAGTGAACGAGGTTACCATCCACATAAAGTAGATTGAGAACGAGTTGAGATAAGGTGGATTTCTTATTTTATTATAAGTTGGACCCAAATGCAAATAACATCCCTCGACGCCTCTGGATAATCCAAGGGAACATCATAAGGATGATACAGCTTGGCACTAGTGGCCACGGTAGGTTATAACATTAAAAAAGAAAAATTTAACTTAATTTAAATGAATTGGGGTTTTATATCAAGACTCTTGGCCAATGCAGGCGATCATTCGTTTTTTCATCTAACAGTTGTTTCTTCATTATCGTCATTTCCTTTTCCTGAAAGTAATATGGGGATAGCCTAGGTATTTGAAATCAGATATTCTGTAAATGGCAGTACTATCGACATAAATATAATAGCATTAAATAGGACTAGGATAATGAGATATGTTTAAAGATTAACTAAATGTAAGTGTCTAAATAAAACTAAACTTAAATTGAACTGACAATTTTGTCTGCTCGCCAGACTCTCTCGATTAAAAAAAAAATAATTCTAGGCATGCCTAACTACATGGCAAATTAAAATATCATTCAGGGAAATTAAAGAAAAGAAAGAAATAACTTTTATACCATAAATTGTTGCATTGTGACTTTAGTAGATGAAGGCTTTTCAATTGTCCCCTCCGTTTTCTCCTGTCTAGTTTCGGATTCTTCCTTCACTGGCATCTATCAATAAAAAAAATACAACTTTACAAATATTATTAAAATTGATAAGTTTTATACAACTGTATATTGTGTACAAAGCTATACGTCTTATACATTTTTCTACGTTCTTTGCTATCAAGGAACAAACTAAATAGGAGATGTCGTAGTACATAAATCTAGACAATTGTGTGTTGCAAATTTTTTTAAAAAAAGTATCTAAACTTTCAGGAGTCGGCCAAACATCTTCATTATTCATACAAGACTTTAGAAGATCTGACCCGATGTTACCGCAATAATAATGGAAGACATTTGCAATACCTTCTACCTGCTACTGCAATGTCCTAACAGCTAAAAATCAAATTTCTACGCATATATATATATTTTTAAAAAAATATATAATACAAATTTGAAAAGTTAGACATTATTCCACGCTCTTGAAATAGTTACTCAAACTTTCCTTGATTTAAAAAGAAGTTTCGCGTTTACATTTCTAGGATTATTTAGTTATGAGAATTATTTATCTCCAATATGATATAGGCATACCCGCCCCTTTTCACGCCCCTGAGCCACAAACGATCAACGCATACAAAAATTAATTAAATGTCCTTAAATTTACAACAAATAATTTAAATTCCATTTTAAATAACTTTAAATATACAAATCTATTGTTGATCTTGAATTAACTACATCAGTTTAAAATACGCATTAGATAAATGAATTACTTATACATTCCTCAAACATCTCAGATATTATTCGATTAGCTGTATAGTAGGCCTTTTCCCCGACACCTCTTCTTCTTTTGCTTAAGAAAATCAAAAAGGAAACAAAAAACGTAACTCTTCCTTAAATCTCAATAGAAATCATATGCCTACTTTCTTTCCATCAATTAAATTTTATATAATTTTTACCTTTCCTTTTTTGTTGAGGCTCTTCTTCCACATTTCTCTATTCTCTACCATTTAATTGCCTCGCTTCCGTACTTTTATCCTCCCCTGAAATCTCATCGTCTTCCGTTTCCCCTCACTACATCCCCCCCCCCAACCGGAAATGAAATGACTCAAATTGCTTCTGTATATCACACAGACCAAATAATATTGATACATCTGAAGAAATAGGGCATTTCATTGCCAAAGTTTTGGAGAGGCCCATTCACAGACGTACAAAACACAACAAACTAATGATTTGAAAATGTCATTTTTTTGTTCCAAAAACATTTAATTTGTTATAATATTTTTTTTTTAAATTTTCAGAAAAATTAAAAAGTTTTAACCTTTCACTTAAAGTGACTTAATTTGATAATTATTTCACTTCTACTACATTACAAGCATTAGACTTAATCTTTTTTAGGAATGATCGTGTGTATGTCATGAAATTAATATAATCTTGTGGATTCTGAAATAACTAAAAACTTTTAATATGGGTTATATTTTGCCATTAAAATTTTTCTTTTTTGGTTTTGATGACAATCGCAGCGGTTATTTTTAGCTGTAATCAGCTTTCATTAAACATATTTTTATTTATTTTTTTTTTTTGCTGTAATTTACATTTTTTTAAATTCCTTCATACTTAAAGATTAATATTGTTGCAAAACATACCGAATACAATTCAGTAAAATATTTTTAATAATCATATTTTTAATTAAAACACTTCTCCATTGTGATACAATTCCAAAAGAGACGAAAAAAGTCACCCCCAACAATATTAGCTAAATAATGTATAATCGAAAACATAATTTTTTTCTTTCAAAAATTAAGAATCAGCCAAGAGAATTAATCGTGAATACAAAAATGTGAGACTCTGTGCTGGAGAGGGAAAGACAAATTGGCTATTACTAAGAAAGAAAAAATCTGACCAAATAGTGAGGATATGCCAAGTCAGTGGGTGTAAGCACATGACTGTCTGTCGGTTGAAGCAGCCCAACCACTTCTCCCTCGCTGTTTACCTGAAAATATTGATATATACTTTTTTTAAAATATACTTTATCTTTTTATATACCCTCTGTCAGCATATATTATATGTTTATTGGATCAAATCAATTTTAAAAATACATGCGTCTAATATTATATTAACTGAGTCAATTACAAGCTGGTGGATCTCCAGCAAATGCTAATATAATCAAAAATAAAAGCAGCACACGGGGTGGATGGGACTTGTTCATCTTGGATGGCGACCCATCAAACAGAAGGTTAACTCTGAAACGAAACCCGGGGATGGAGTCCCGTAGGCGGTGTGACTTAATGAAAACCCCGCCATTCCTGCGATGTGGAACATGCGCGGAGCACAGTGAGACATAATAAAGATTGTTGGTCTTCTAATAGATCCTAGTCTTTTTTCAGTCGTCTTAAGACTTGCTTTTGGAACAAATATCCAAGGGCGACGGAGAATGAGGCTGACAAATTGATCAATTCACCAACACTTTAAAAAAAAGTGGAGGCTGCTACTCAAGTTGAAGCCTTGGTCATTTTCGCATGCGATGGAAACTATATATTATTATTCATCTTAAATAGGTTGAAGGAACACCCAGACCATTGGTGGGCTGCTAAATAATTTACCAAAATAAAACTATGAACGCTACAAGTGTCAAAATTTACGGACTCCATATGAAAAGTCTTCCACCAAAATAACATAATATATTCCCTTTAAGAGATACATAATAAGTTGCTTCCATTGTGAAGAATGCCATTCTGAAAAGGGCATGTCGGAGAAATTATTTTTTTTAAAAAGTATAAAGCTCAAAAATATTTTCCTTTTTTTTATTCATTAGAATTATGGATTACCTGTAGCCTGGACATGTGACAAGAGGAATTTATTGCAAACCTTTTGAATCATATCATCATAAAATAATTTTATTTTCACATTTTCAATCTAAACATTGAGGAGTTGTAAAATGTTGTAATTAATAAATTTTAGTATATAAGGTCACGCTATACAAAATTATCTGATATGAAAGCTTTTTTATTTTAATTTATTTTTGCCGTGGTGAAAAAAAAATTAAAAAAAAAAATTATAATCGTAACTTTAGAGATTTTAAATTGCGATACGTTTACGTTTCTCGTCAAATCGAGAAAGTTCCAAAAATATACTAGGAGACAAACTAACCATATTTAATTTGGTAGTCGGCTGTACTGTAAACATGACAGATCAAAAGAACTAGCCCCGCCCATCTATGAACGTAGCGTCTGCTGGGAATCTAATCTGGGGTCAGCAATGTCCACGGCACGGGGAAAAGTGTCCTACATAAAAGTTAACTAATGGAGACCACAATGGAAACGAAAATATTAAATTTATCTCTGGAAATTGGATCAAATTGGTTTGACAACATGACGTGTGGCAAAGTTGCAATTGATAATTTTTTTTATTTTATTTTGAAAGAAATTTTTCAATATATATAATTTTTTTGTACGGTATTAAACATCTACACTCTCCTTGGGTTACATTTTGTTTAAAAAAAAAAAAAAAAAAAAGTTATAGAACAGCGTCTTTTGTCCGAAAGTCAATTGTACGGACCGGCGCTTATCCGAATCGTCCTTTGTGTCATTATTATTATTATTATAATGACATTAGACAAGGGGTTACAACTTTTGACTTATACTAACATGATGTCTTAGAAAATATATTTTGTTCAAACATTTTTTAATTTTTTAACCCTGTTTTTAAAAAAAAAATTGTCCAAGGTTGTTTATCATTCTATCTATCTATCCGTCTATCTACGTATATTAAAATATTTGTAATTCCGGGGCACTGCACTGCATGCGAATCGATTGCATTAGTGCATCTTTTTCAAATTTTTCACAGTTTTTAAATGTTTTTTTTTTAAAATTGTGTTTCACTATTTAAAATGGAGGTGCTAAGGACGGTTTTCTTGTGAGTTTAGTGTGTTTCTCTTCGCAGGAAAAGCTTGGGAAATCAGGTTACTCATACTAGCCTAACAATGTCACTTCCGAAATCTTTGTAAACTTCCGCCATGCCAACAAAAAATGGCGACCGGTTCAGGACTGAGACGAAGATAACGGGTAGAAGGGAGGCATTCGTGTGCAATTCAGAAACAGGGGACAGTGAGGCTTTCTTCCACCTGTTGTTTTGGGAAACGTTGGATCACTATACAACAAGATGGATGAACTCGATTGTTGCAGTAAGCATTTTTATCCATTTCGCAAAAGCTCCTTAATATGTCTGACAGAAACATGGCTTTAAAAAAACGGTATTAGATTCAGCAGTGGCACTGGATGAATTTAACATTTCTGTGCCGATAGAACAAGTGACAGCGGCAAATCCAATGGGAGGGGGATTGGCAAAAAATGTTCACAAAAACTACTTTAGCATCAACAACAGTACTGTGAAACATTTATCTTGTACACCCGCCATGGACCTACACTCCGTCACTTTCAAGCCAATTTACCAATCTTCTGCCTTACATTCCACCTAATTCTAACACGCTGTAGGCTATTGAGACACTTTTGGATTTAATCCATGAAAACTAAGACTCCGAAGGTCTGGCATTCGGCGTGTCCCCCCTTAAGTCACAGATCTTAATGAGATTTAATAAGTCCCTGATATGGCTACAAGAATTCACTGAATAACTGGTCTTTTTTCCTCACTAGTCAATTAACTTAATGTCGAAGTCTAGTTTTCAAATTGATTTATTTATGTGCTGAAAATGTACAATGCAATCAAAAAGAATTTCCATTTGTTTGCTTCAATATAAGAATCTTATNTATATATATATATATACATTAAATGTTAATAATAAATATATCTATATATATAATTTGAATATATTTTATAGAAATGTCATTAGTAAATTACTGCCATTTGGTGTGAAGTACCGACAATGCGCCTTTTCTCTGAAGCACACATATTATTTATACAATGTTATTTTTCTTTTTTTTTTATAAATGCCAACATTTTAAAGAGTAGTCTTTTATCGATACAGCACATTAAGTGGAATCGTTGCCATGTTAAAATTAAATACTGAAAAACTCTTCAAGTTAATTGACATAGTAAACAGCGTACTTATATATTGCATTACCCCCAGAAATACGTATGTGATAATCTCCAAATAGTTTAAGAATTTAATGTGAAATTAGAAAAAAAAAGTTTCAAAAAAATACCAACTATTTAACAAAAATTGTAATGACTTTATTATTAATTTTTTTCAAGAAAAATCATATAAAAAAATAGTGCGTAGACTGCTAAGTTGGTTATGTTATTATTATTATTGATTTGATACTTTGTGGTACCCAAGCACAGGGAACCAACAAGCTTCTGTTATCGGACGATTGTGCCCTCAATGCTTACTCTGAAGCCGCCATGCAAAAATGCGTTTATATATAATCTGAGGCTTGCAACGACTTTGGCCTCACAATCAACACAAAGAAGACTGAGGAGATGTATCGGCCAGCTCCCAGTAGGCCCTACACTGAACACAGCATTGCCACCCGCGGACAGCGCCTTAATGCGGTGGATACATTTACTTACTTGGACTCACTCTCTCAAGAACTGTCGTCATAGATGATGCAATGAAAGCCAGACTCGCAAAAGCTAGTGCAATATTTGGCAGACCCCGAAGCACTGTTTGGGACAGGAGGGATATCAGACGAGAAACGAAGATCTCGTTCTACAGCGCAGCAGTCCTCACGACTTGTTATAGGGATTTGAAACGTGGACAGTCTAACAGTGTCCCACCAAGAAACTAAAGCACTTTCAATTTAACAAACATAATCATGAACTTCAAAAAATAATCAACACACATTAATTAAATAAAACAAACAAATTTATATTCACTCCATCTATTCAAGAACTATTTACATGTGAAACCATGGAAGGCACCCCGAAGAATCGTTTATCGGTAAACGTCTGCGCTTTGGGTGTAAGGAGTGGAATGTACACCCCATATATAATTGGACGGAGTATAAAGATGTTTGGTTAATGGCCCAGCATTGTGTTTGGGTAGGGGGGGATAACATGTGGGGATATGAAAACAAATTACCAAATAATGAGCCACCGCCATTTCGGTAGGTGAAGACATTTGTCGTTTGACATGCTGATGTTGTCCTGTAGATTCTGCTGATCTCTTGCTCTGAGATGATAAAACTCATCTTATATTAAATTTAAACTATTTTGCAAATAAATTATAGCAACATAATCTGCCTTATTTTTTTAAATTTTAATTAATTAAGTTAGGACAAAATTTCATGAAAGCATTATCGTGTTATTTTATTCTAATTATTATTAATGTTACTTTTTTTAAAATGCCAATAAAAACATCACAACAAACTAGCTCCTAATGTGATGATGTATGAATAAAATATTTACTTAAAATGTGCTAAAATTTAAAAACAAATATACAGTACCGTTCGGGTGCGGAATAACATAATATTGACATAACTGAATCATTTTTCTTTAATTGTTACTCTTATTGAAAGCATAAACTGGATATTTTATTTTTCGTGTGCTAATTTTAAAAAATAAATAAATAATGTATCATTTTAAGTGGGTGAACAATTGTGTACGACATAAATGCTAAAATTCCATTGTCCTAAAATGATGGTCTGGGCATACTTGTAGGCGTTATAGTAAATATTGAGAACAATTAAGCTTTCATTAAAACAAATGATAATAAATAAAAATCTTAAAATTATAAAGAGGAAAATAATTTAAGACCGTGACAAAAACTGGTTCATCTTGTTGCAATATATATATATATATATATATATATATATATATATATATATATATATANTATATATATATATATGTATTATATATATTTAAATTTTGCTATCAAGTGTGTGAAATCCAGTTTTAAAGTAGACATATTCCAGATGGTTGGAGAACTAGTTTAAAAAAAAATTACTCCCATAAATTTGAATTGCTTATTTAAATTCGATTTAATTTTATTGCTGCAGAATATGAGAATAGTATTTGCGGGTATTTTAATCTGGAATATAAACAGCGGAATATTGTTAGAAATGCATGTGTGTTGTAGTTAAATGAATGATTAGAGAAAGTTGACATAACGATTTTTGTTAAAACATTAAGCAAGAAAATGTTGTACATTACCATTGTCGCTAATATGTCTTGTTCTTCATAACCTATCACAGAAGAAAAGAAACGAAATATTGGTAAACATCAAAATATACATATTTATTATATCTTTCCAGCATTATTAAGCACTAGAAACAAAAGGTTTGATCTTGTGTTCTTATGTTCTTAAGTTCTTGTGTACAAATGTTCTTATATTTTTTTACGGTTGATCTAGGAAAACGACTTACGCGTGTTGACAAACATCAACAAGGCAGCTTTTGAAAGCTAACAATCCAATAACAAACGAGTTCATGAAAAATCATTTTTTTTAGCAGCCGTGCTCTAAGCGTGTCAGTGTTTCGAAACAACATTCTGTCTCCGTCCTAAATATCACAAGTATGACATTGGTGTCTCCGTCCTGAACATCACCAGTATGACCTTGGTGTCTCCGTCCTGAACATCATCAGTATGACCTTTGTGTCTCCGTCGTAAACATCACCAGTATGACCTTGGAGTCTCCGTCCAGAACATCACCAGTATGACCTTGGTGTCTCAATCCTGAACATCACCAGTATGACATTGGTGTCTCCGTGCTGGACAATCCCAGTTTGGCCTTGGTGTCTCCGTCCTGAAAATCACCAGTATGGTTTTGGTGTCTCCGTCCTGAACAGCACCAGTTTGGCCTTGGTGTCTCCGTGCTGAACATCACCAGTATGGCCTTGGTGTCTCCGTGCTGAGCATCACCCGTATGGTCTTGGTGTCTCCGTCCTGAACATCTCCAGTATGGCCTTGGTGTCTCCCTGCTGAACATCACCAGTATGGTCTTGGTGTCTCCGTGCTGAACATCACCAGTATGGCCTTGGTGTCTCCATCCTGAACATCACCCGTCTGACCTTGGTGTCTCCATGCTGAAAATCACCAGTATGGCCTTGGTGTCTCCGTCCTGAACATCTCCAGTATGGCCTTGATGTCTCACACTTAACATCACCAGTATGACCTTGGAGTCTCCGTCCTGAACATCCCCAGTATGGCCTTGGTGTCTCCATCCTGAACATCACCCGTCTGACCTTGGTGTCTCCATGCTGAACATCACCAGTATGGCCTTGGTGTCTCCGTCCTGAACATCACCAGTATGGTCTTGGTGTCTCCGTGCTGAACATCACCAGTATGGCCTTGGTGTCTCCATCCTGAACATCACCCGTCTGACCTTGGTGTCTCCATGCTGAACATCACCAGTATGGCCTTGGTGTCTCCGTCCTGAACATCACCAGTATGACATTGGTGTCTCCGTGCTGAACATCACCAGTATGGCTTGCTGTCGCCATACTCAACATCACCAGTATGGCCTTGGTGTCTCCTTCCTGAACATCACCAGTATGACCTTGGAGTCTCCGTGATGAACATCACAAGTATGACATTGGTGTCTCCATCCTGAAAATCATCAGAATGACCTTGGTGTCTCCGTGCTGAACATCGCCAGTATGGCCTTGGTGTCTCCGTCCTGAACATCATCCAGTACCTCTCCGTCCTGAACATCACCAGTATGGACTTATTTTCTCCGTGCTAGCCATCACCAGTATGGCCTTGTTTTCTCCGTCCTGATTATCACCAGTATGGCCTTGGTGTCTCCGTCCTGAACATCACCAGTATGGCCTTGGTGTCTCCATCCTGACATCACTAGTATGGCCTTGGTGTCTCCGTGCTGAACATCACCAGCATGGCCTTGGTGTCTTGTGCTGAACATCACCATTAGGGCCTGGGTTTAATTTGGTATATTTCACGATGAAAAATCAATTTGAATCATATAGGTATGATCATGAGTGTGTTCTACTTGATTACTATTGAAGAGTCATTTGCGCGATCAACATGCCATTAAAATTAAAATACTTTTGAATCACAGGTCACTCAATGTCTATGTACGCATGATACTATAGTAGATATCTATACCTTGTCTATGGTTTACTTGTGAACTATTCTCTAGTTTTAATTTCAGGTTTACATGCCCAGTCTGGTCAAGATTAAAACCGTTTTCGTTTCGAATTTTTTTGTTTTGTGTGGAGTATTGAAGATCAAGCCAAAGGTTTAATCAATAGAAGCCTAACCCATTTTAGACTTGCAAACACACGCACATACTCTCCCTATTCAGACTTTGTTTGTGTATAACTGTTCCGCGCATTTGAATAACCGACCAACCAGCTTAGAATCTTTCACGCGATAAACTCTGGTGACACATTCCTTTACAAGCACACAATAACTTTTTTTTAAAATTTTCTGGTCAAAAGATAACAGCCTACAGCGAGGACCGGATAAGATACATAAAATGGACTCCGTAAATAATCTCTCTATGGATACGACCTGAAGGTCTGCCGCAGTTGCTAACTACTCGATTTGGGAATGTTATGCAAGCAGGAAGAGTAGGAGTCGGGGATTGTTATGCAATCAGGAGGGTAAGGAGTCGGGGATTGGTGGGCAAGCAAGAGAGGTAGGAGAGAAGTCGAAGAGTATAATATAACGAGACGATGCCGTGGAGCGTTGACGGGTATTTGAGGAGAGAGTGAGAAGCACTGAGCAGTGCAAGGAATATGGAGAATGGAGTAGGGGTTCGTGTTTCAAAATAAAAACGAATTGATAGAGAGATAGAGCGATAGAGAGAGAGCGAAGACAGATAGAGAGACATATATATGTAGGAAGAGAGAGAGAGGGCGAGATAGAGAGAGATGGTGGGCAGAGAGATAAAAAAGCAGAGATGTAGAGAGAGAGACAGTGAGAAGACAGAGAGAGACAGAGAGAGAGAGACTGGGAGAAAGAGACTGAGAGAGACAGAGAGAGAGAATGAGAGAGAGAGAGGGAACGAAGTAGAGAATGAGAGAAGAATACCGATGAAAAAAGTGGTAGATGAGAAGTCCATTTTTTTAATATAAAGATGAAATACTTGACATTCAAACTATTCGTGTGATACTTCTGTGGAGTACATAAGTTAGCACACTAAAGATACTAAATACTGATTACAACACATTTTCTAACACAAAAAAAATCATATTACTTTACAAATTGTACATAAAAAATATTAAATTACATTAATAGTGCGGTTTAGACCAATGATCAATTATACGTTAATTAAATACCGTAATGATTCAAATTAACGCAATTTTAACATTAAAGGGGCCCTTGAGTTGATACATCTCACGTTTAGACTGTAAAGCAATGGAATAAGTAAAAGCGTTTTCTTTGGGTTTTTTTTTCTTTTTTTTTTTTAAATAATAGGAAACTTCGGAGATTTCGGAAACAAGCTGTCGCAGAATAAAGTAAAATCAAAGACAGGTTTTACTTACCTGTCTAGACCTAGAATATATTATCAGATCCAAAATCATCCAAAGAGAAATTATTGTTTCGCTGCATTCTTTTCTTATAGTAGCTTTGGGGATCACGTGATAACAAAATTTTAATTTCATTGGTTTAAACCGCATTCCAACCACATGAGGTCATACATTTAGTACAAAAGATTTCTTGGAAGAGCTGTTAAATGTCCGTTTTCTTACATAGATATCGAAAATGAAAGTAATATATATATATATATATATATATATATATATATATATATATATATATATATGTATGTATATATTTTTACTTCTCCTCTAACATTAATATATATATATATATATATATATATATATATATATATATATATATATATATGTATGTATATCTTGTTACTGCTCCTCTAACATTGTTGAATGCACAAAAGCGTACCAACAAATCATAGAGGGTAGTGGGCAGGCATGACGAAAGCCGTGTGACGTCTTAATAAAAATCAATGAGCATTTTTGTGCCCGAATAGGGATTTTCTGATGTTTATCTTGTCAACTTATTCTCAACTTACCGTGTGTCATTTTGATACGGTCAATCTTCATTCATGTTCACGTCTAGTTACCTTCCTCAACTCGCCTTGCTATTTTTTTTTATGAGAGAATCTATCATCTTGATGTACAGTCACTTTCCCTCAACTCAAAACGCTATCGATAGCAAGCAGCATGCATCTGGCCTGTATTGATCGAAATGAGAAGGACGAAGTACGATGGTAGGCCAGAAGATGGGTGTGACCTAAATTGAAACAAATATGAAGACTTTTAAATGCAGCTCTGTCAAACATTAAAGCTAAGTGAAGAAAGTTTCTAGAATTCATTTTTCATGTTTGTTAAATTTATTGTTTGTTTTTTTTTCACGTTCCCTCATGACGGTATTTTCCCGAAAGATTTTTTTTAAATTGTGTCTTTATCGCTAGTTTACTTTGATCTTGTGATAATGACTTTGTGTTCCTGACTCCGTGTTCCTGACTCTTTTTTACCGAATATGTGTTACTGATTCCATTTTCTAACTTTATTTTGCTTATGCAGTTTTCAAGAAAACATCCTAAATAATATGGTTCAGGAAGTGACTACTATTCAATATTGTTCAATCATTGATTTCTAGTGTGCATAGTCAGACGGGCGATCCTAATTTAGGTAGTTAATTATTTAAAATAAATCATAATGTAATATACCTTTTAGGGTGAAAGTCAAAATAAAAAATAAAAATTTTAAATTTAAAAAGTTGATAGGTCATTTTAGTTTTGAAATTTACTTATTATTTAAAATGAATTAACATAAAATTTATTTTCTTAAATGATTTTATAACTGAAAATCTTTGAACCTAAATATTGGATTGTTGATATCCTTGGTGTCATAGATTGCTTTTTATTTGCTATAAAAAATAATAACTACAAAATACAATTTACAAAACACCATTCTTTTTTTGTCATCTCCTCCTCATCCTCCTCCTCATCCTCATCCTCATGTCCCTTAGTCCTTGGAACGTTGGGGTGCCACAGATGACATGGGAACCATCTGCATCTATTCCTCTCTGTTTTCTGCATACTGGTGGTGTACTGTGATGCAAATTTGTGGACCTCAACAAGTTAACTAAATCTAAAGCAAAAGGCCGACTCCTAACATAATAAGTCTTCTCCCTTTTCAACTTGACCGGATTCTTAGTCCATAAAATTTAAACATTGGTTTCCATATCATTAAATTAGCCATACGATCTACCCACAATCTTTCTTGAAGGCGGCAGCTCACTTTTTGAGAAGAGTAACAATCTTTCTTAAGGGCATCAGCATACTTTTGGGGCGATGAGTCAAATCTTTCTTGAAGGTGGCAGCATACTTTTGGGGCGATGAGTCAAATCTTTCTTGAAGGTGGCAGCATACTTTTGGGGCGATGAGTCAAATCTTTCTTGAAGGTGGCAGCATACTTTTGGGGTGATGAGTCACAACCTTTCTCGAGCACAGCAGAACACTTTCGGGGATGAGTCACATTCTTTCTTGATGGCAGCAGCACACTTTGAGCGATGAGTCAAAAACTTTCTTGAGGGCATCAGCACACTTTGAGAGATGAGCCACATTCTTTCTTTATGGCAGAAGCACACTTTTAAGGATGATTAACAAAGTATCTTGAGGGCAGCAGCAGGCTTTGGGGGATGAATCACAGACTTTCTTGAAGGCAGAAGCACATTTTGCGGCGGTGAGTCTAAAACTTTCTTTAGGGCAGCAGCACACATCGGAGGATCACTCAAATTTCTTTCGTGACTACAGTAGCACTTTCTGGGGAGGGGGGATCACAATCTTACTCGAGGGCAGCAGCAAACTTTGGTGGAGGGGCTTGAGTCGCAATATTTCTTGGGGGGCAGCAGAAGACTTTGAGGAATAAATTCGTTTAAGTAGTTCAAAACAATTAGATTTGCACTGCTTTAGTTCATTGTAGGAAATATACAAGATATTTTAAAACACACTATAGTAATTATGTTGTTGGCGGTTCATAGAATATTTGCTGTATAATTCCATGATCATTTAACTTTAATTCTGATTGATTCTTTGTCTGTGTGATTCAAGTCTGTGAGATTCAAAGACTGTCTGTATCCACGTCAGTATAATTCTATGTCTGTGTTATTGCATTTATGTGCTATTCAATTTTTGTGTTATTCCATTTATATCTTATTCCATTTCCGTGCTATTCAATTTTTGTGTGATTCCAGTTCTGAATGATTCCATGTCTGTGGTATTCCATTTCTGTTTTATTCCAGTTCTTTGTTATTTCATGTCTGTGTCATACCATTTCTGTATTATTCCGTGTCTGTGTTATTCCACATCTGTTTAATGCCATGTCTCTTGTATTTAATTTTTTGGGGATTCCATGTCTTTTTTTATTCCATTTGTGTGTGATTTTATTTATATGTTATTCCCTATCCAAGTGATTCTATGCCTGTGCAATCTATATATCGCCAGCAAAGGTCAAACAACACCACCACAACTCAGGCTATAAATAGATAAGCCAGAGTGTGGTTCAATAATGAGTTCACTAGCACCCAAATTATAATTCCCGATATCTACGCTAAATGATATATATTTTTGTTTTAATAACGCATTTGCGCTTGGTCCGTAATATTTTCTTTTCGGAAATGAAATCGTCTCCATGTAAGTATTGTGTAAATTATATTCGGTTTCAAAGTGGTTGGGACATGAAAATATTGTGGAGAGTTCGGACCTGGGTGCGACAGGGGTTGGGGAATCACACTGCGGGGTACAGACAACCTGATCAATGTGCCTGGCGTGTCAGATCCCACAGCAAGGTTACCGGTCAGCTGACCAAAGGGTCTAGCGTATCAGATTTCCTGAGTTGACCACTGTGTTGGGGGTGTATGACCATTTACATGGTTGGAAAATTTAAGTACCTGAGATTTGAGATTTAGATTACAGAACTGGGAAGGAATCAATATTGGCTAGATGCTTAAAATAGGGACCGTTGGACAGGAGTGGACAGAACTCAGTTGGACAGGGAAGTGGATAGTCGAGGAGAACTAAGCCGGACAGGGAAGCGGTAAGTCAAGAGAACTCAGCCGTTTGGAGGGCGAGTCGGACAGTTTACAGGGCAGGAGTAGAGATAGACAGGAGTAGAGATAGACAGGAGAAGACAGGAGGAGAGATAGACAGGAAACGACAGGAGTAGAGATAGACAGGAGTAGAGACAGACAGGAGAAGACAGGAGTAGAGACAGACAGGAGAAGACAGGAGTAGAGATAGACAGGAGAAGACAGGAGTAGAGATAGACAGGAGAAGACAGTAAACATACAAATCGAGTCGAATCCAGAAGGTGAAAACTAATAAGTGGCAAGGTCAACTTGTGATCACCCAAAAGCTATTGACGTTCAAAATTATTCACAATGAACGCCATTGTAAGCTGAAACATGGCACTGCCCCGTCGGATTGGAGCAATGTCAGGGCTTCTCAGAGTTCCACAGGCAAATGTGCATGTTACACTGACAATAGGTTAAAAATTGAATGTTTTAATTAATTTTATAGCATGACAGTCTTTAGATGGACATAAAAGTAAGGGAAATAATGTGACAGAAAATTGAGTCGAGATACTTGTAGTTTAACTTGGAAAAACGGCATAACTTCATATGATATTTTTTTTTTTTTTAGAATTTGATGATTGATGAAATTTTATAGGATCATTTTTTTCATGGTGAAATTTTATTGCCTTTAAGATTGAAGAGTTTGCGTTAAAATAAGATGAGTGTTAATGACAGTGAAGACACTTAGATTGATTGTATGGGACGACATTTTTCTTTCTTTTAAAGAATAGATTTATGGTAAGTGAATGTTGTTGTTTTATTTGATCTCCAGACATTTGAGCTCCACAGATGAATTAATGTTATAAATGGATAATGTTTTAATTATGACAGGATTGAAGTATTTTTGCGTGTATAAAATGTTGTTGGTGAAACATAATGACATTACCATTAACGGCTTTAAGTAGTTTCGGATGTATACTGACCATAATAATTGCTCTTGCATTGAAATTTTTATTTGATTCTGATATGGTACTTGACATGTTTTCATTATATTTGAAATTTTGTTTCGTTTAATTTAGTTTTCAACTTTATATTTTAATGCAGTTCTATTAAATTAGTCTCTAGATGATGTATTATTCTTTATCTCATTTTTGTTCAAGAATAATTGTTTGATTGTTGTGAATGTACAAATGAGCTCTGACTGATCCCAACCTGACCCTGACCTTGACCAGAACTGTTAGGAGACCGTGAACGGGGCGACAGTTAAATTCTATTGTTGTAGTTCAAGAGAAAAAGGGGGTGGGGAGAGATACGCGTAGGATTTCAATGAAGGGAGTGCACTAGAACCACATTGTGATGACATCGCATGCATTACTTTGAGCTGTTTTTAAATGAAGGCTGAAGGTCCCAGTCACTTAAAGCCATTTAGAGAACAGTCATGGGTAACTGTAGCGAGGGTGTTACGAAATGTCGGGACGACATTGTTTTGTAAGATGAGGGTATTGTGGAGAGTTCGGACTTGGGTGCAACT